TAATTATCCTATAATTGCTTAATGTCAAATGGATAAAATCATTTAATTTTTAACATAAGTTTGTGTGTAGACTCGGGTCTAGAGCACAACCGCAGATTTTTATAAATTTATGACACATATATCTGTGGACATTCCAACGAAACGTGCACTAAGCTGGGAAAACTGTTGCAGAATATATAAATGTATCAGTCAGCAGAGCAAAAAGCACGAGATTCGAAATAAATGCTTACACTTTTGTATTATGAAAGTTAAGATGTATCTTTTCGCAACAAAAGTAAGGATAAGATCGTATATTACAAGAATAATGATTGACTATAATGATGAATATTCCATATATAGCTTTTTTCACAATTCAATATATAGCGCCTATTATTATGATATACAAAAAAATGAAATCTAAATTTTCTCAAATTGTTTAAACATATTTCGAAAACATTTTTGCAGCATACTTATTACATTCCTTGCATTTTCTATCAAAAATATCCACATAATACGCGAATTAAAAGAACTACAATAGAATTTTATACCTTAGTTTAATACAATATATTTAAAATTCAATAAGAAAGAAATATATCAAATGAAACAAAATTAGGATCATTATGATCATTCTCTAAAATTCTTATTAAGCAAATTTATAGCAAAAGACTGCAATTCTATGAGCCTTTTCCTAATTGACAACATATCTCAAGCTTTCGAAAGAACGGAGTTATATATTTTTACTTTTGTACGTTTTTTACATATTATACACATTACTAGAGGAAAAGAAAAATGTAAATATTGCTGTAATATATACAATACTTAAGTGATTATATATATAAAACAATGTAATTATTATTGATTAAGATTAAAACAATGTGATGTAGATAAAATATTTTGTGTTGTGTATTATCTAGAGAGCCATTATATTGTCCACTAACAATATGAGAAAAAGATAAATAAATTTCGATCTTTTAGGACTAAAACATTGATGTATCTTATATATTTTTTTGCAAAAATGTATATATATATATTATGCATTTCATTGTATAAGTTATAAAAATTAGCAATATGCTTTTTGTATAAAAAATCACTTATAAAATATAATAATTAATACATCAAAACAAATGGCTTATTTGTTATTTTAAATTTATATAGATAAGTGCACATTTGATGTATATTATATTAATAATATAATACATAATATATAACCAATATAAAAGACGGTCACACATATGTGAAAGAGACAAGAGTACATATAATTCAGCGATCACAAATCAACAATTCACATAATTGACAAGTACACTTTCCAGTGATATGATTATACATCGAGTATCTTTTTCTGTCAGTGAATAAATTAATGACGGATATTTACTGAGCTTTGATTAATGAATTAGTATAATAGTATTACTTATTTTTTATTAAAGTTGTTTATTTATTGTTCGTACAAATAAACTACATTTTGATAATAATTCGTGTAAAATATATTTTATATACAAATATACAATATACAAAAGGCACAATATATCTACATTCTTTAGATCATGTACAATAAAATGCAAGACGGTAAAATAAGATTTTAAATTGTAGAAAGTATATATAAGAGATGTTATAAAGATTTTTATTAATTTGTGTTTTGTTCCTATTATGTTTATATATACAGAATGTCTCATTAAATAATATCAAATTAAATAATTTATAAAAGATTTTTTAACAAAAAAACATCAAAATATTGATAATTCCAGTTAACAATTGAAGATCCAAATGTTTTTAAAATAAAAATTGATAATACTTTCTATATTTTCTATATTGTGTTATTGATAATATTTTTCCGAGCAATGTTCTAAGTAGATATTTTATTGCTATAAGCCTGTATATTAACTTGTCAAAACATTGCAGAATTTTTTTATGAATTTGTTTATTTTTTTCTTTAAGTAATTAGGAGTAAACAAAAAATATATCAGATGAAAAATTATGGCAGTATAGTTTACTGTTGTCGTATTCTAATATTCTAATATTTTTTTCTAATTTCTCCTCTCATAATGGAAATGAATAAATATAAATTTTCACATTTTTTTTTGTTTAGAATTTACGAATGTGAATGTAAATAAAAAATATGACGCCATTTCCGATAATGTTTGATTTAAATACATTTTCATAATTCTCACAAATTTTAAAACATTATATTCTTGATAAATTATATTAGACGTGTGGAAATTATTGTAAAAATTTCTAAACTTTTGAAACAATTGTTATCACATAATCATTCTCTACATTCTCACAGTCTATAATATAAAATTTCAAGTGTACATATGTACCATTATATGTGTATTCCTAGTGTTCCATTTATAAAGAGTTTAGTAGAAAATACATATAATACGTCCGTCACGCCATACATTAAGAATATAGCCATAAAACATTGCAGCGTACTATAAGATGTAGGCCAATAATGTATCAAATACAGTCCCAACAAAATGCTCAGCATTTTAATAAGTGTAACGAGAACTGCTTATAGATTCTTTCAAACAATTCAAGTATCAAAAAACCTGTATGTGAACCAGATTTATTATATATATAAAGTATAATTATTATAGAATTATTGTATATCTACCAATTTATTATCGCGACGAATGCATTGATAATATATACGTTTTTTACCTCCTATAAATCTGCATATAAAAATCATAGACCAGCTTTATAGCATGTGAGCATTAATATATTGATCCTGTATATGTAGATAATAATATATAAAAACAAGGTATATTTGAGATATTATTATGTTATAAAAATGATATAAAATTTGCAAATATAAAAGTATCAATAAGTTAAGTCTGATTATCTTTTTATAGGAATGTAAAAATATCATGTACAAAATATATATACCGATTATATCAACCATTTTTGTGTTTATGGACCGAGATATATATATGTAAGAACTTAAATATATCATATCATTTTCAATAATCTTAACTCACATATACATATATAACTTACATAAATGTACATAATCAATATTATTCTAGTTAATAATGGAAGTGTATATTATAAATTTACTTGTTAGTAAATTATTACATCATTTTACCAAACACCACAATACTTTTTCGCAAATTAAAAATAATAAAGATTTTATGTAATGAATGATTTAATTATAGAATTGAACAATAGCTTATAACTTAATTGTAAAGACGTTTTTGAAAATATATATCTGACATAATATATATTGATATATTTTGTAATATCAATATATTATTAAATAAATTGATAAAAATCTAAATTATATAAGTAGAAATTTCCTGGAATTCTACATGGAATTCTTTGGCTTAATTAATATCATTACATAAAACCTTTGAATATATTTCATGTGCATATATCTACAATATAAAAAAAATATTACAATTTTTTTTTCCAAAAACAAAATTGGACAGTAATTTCAGATTACACAAGATATATACTTCTTATATTTTTCAGAATTTTGGCATAATACAATGGTTCAGTCCAAATTATGCCAGATTTCTTCACTGACTTATATAAATTATAAATTCATTTACTCATACAAATTATAACAACCAAATTTAAATAAGCATGCATATATAAAAATGTGTAAAGCAATATTATATTTATAATATGCTAAATTATAGACAAATTGCTGTTTCAATCTGGCCTTCTCTAAATAATATAAGAAATTAAAAATGTTATTTTGTATAATGTGAAAAAAGATAATACTGATTTTTTTATTTGAATTTTCTCTCAAACATATAATAATCAATAAAGAATCAAAATTATAGAAGAATCAAAATTATAAATAGAATATTTACGATAAATAGAAAAATTGTATTACATGATGGTTTTACTAAAATTTTAAATAACTGCTGTTTCTAAAATATAATTACTTTTGTACCTCATAATTTGACTCAAGATAAACAACTGCCACATTTTAAACTCACTAGATATCTATAATTTGTAACAAAATTCTATTTATGTTAGAAAACATACTCACATATATATATATACATACATACATACATACATACATACATACATACATACATACATACATACATACATGCATGCATGCATACATATACATACACATACATACATAGAATTCTATTTCAAATTCTGTCGCAAATTAGAGACTGTCTATAAAGTGAGCTTTATATATATTAAAATATATACAAGATTTATAAAAAATTTTAACTAACATTATACTATACAAAAAAAGGAAACAATTGTGATTAATTTAATCATTTTTTAGTTTTTGACAATAACATAACAGCAGCCTTGAAAGATTAATTTATAGAATTCAAGATAAAAAGATTTGACTATAGTGTTATATTGAATAATAGCGCATTGCTTCTTCAAAAAAGAAGAAATAAATGAATAACTTTTTCCCACAGCAATTTGAACACAAACTGGTTAGCTTTATTTGGTTTATATGGCTTGGACCTAGTATTTGGTTTTCTTGTTACTTAATTTATATCCTGTGTCAATAAAATTAATCTTAAATAAGAAATAAATTATACTCATGTTTTTATGTAAAAATTCTGGTTTAATATAACCAGCCATAATCTTATATATTACAACACACACATGAGAAAAGCATTGTGCGTGTATATTTGAATCACATACATCTATACAAATGTAAAAATCTAAATTGAATTATTTGCAACTGATCATTCTCTTTATACAAATGTGTGTGTGTCAATTCATTATCGTAGAAATTATTGACAACATATAGAATATAAATCATTATATACAATAAAGCTTGTAATAATCTCCTTACAACCATTCGATATTCATCAAAAGCACAATGAAAATATATCTTAATATATGTATATGTATATATATATATATATATATATATATATATATGATGTATATAGAATCAAAATTTTTAATATATCTTTACATCAGGCAGTTTTTCTCTGTTTTGCTATAAACATATATATATATATATATATATATATATATAGAGGTAAACATTTAATTCGTATTCATACATAATATATTGTCTTATCAAAATTTTTTGACCTAGTCTGTATATTGCAATATATTCCTCAAAAACTACAGATTGGATTAATAATACATATTAAATATTATAAATTCTTGCCGCGTACCTTTGTTTTACTAGCTGCTTTATGTATTTAATTTCTTCGTTTCTATGTCATTATTGAAGCATTAGTGACTCTAAGTTTCGATGTAGAATAGTATCTTTCACGGCATTGAAGACAACTTTAATATTTTCCGTGTCTACCGCAGTAGTAAAGTGATGAAATAACGGCTTCCTCGGATCCCTTTTGACCGAGACAAACATATCGAGGATAAAATTTTGCACGTCATTCATGGAATGTGGATCACCCGCAAATTGTGGAAAGTACAAACGGACATTTGTATCTTGTGACCTCACTTTTTTATCGAGCAAATCCGTTTTGTTTAGAAATAAAATAATAGAGACACCACAGAATATCATATTGTTTACAATTGTATCAAATATGTTTCTAGATTCTTCCAATCTGTTAGTCCTCCTATAAGATTAAATTGAGACACAAACATTATCATTGTATCTTATTTTAAAATGTTATACATACAGAAATATTATATAAACATAGATAAAACATACCTATCTTCCAACAAGACCTGGTCAAATTCCGACGATGATACAAGAAAAAGTATAGAAGTCACACAATCAAAGCATTGGTACCATTTCTGCCTTTGAGATCTTTGGCCGCCAACATCGACAAAGAGAAAAGGGATATTGTTAATTGGTATCACACATTCGGAAATCCCTTTTGTTGCTTTCCTACAGTGTAAAATATCCTGATGTGTAGGTGTATAATCCTGAAAAATATTTTTCTTATATACATATTCTGTAAATAACAATTGCCTAAGTTAAAAATAACATATTATACAAGTAATATATTTCTTTATTTTAATAAATTAAAAATATACATATATAACATTGTGTAAAGTATAGTATTTTAATTATGTAGAATATTATATTTGTTAAAAAAAAAGAAAAAGGAATTATTACCACTCTTGCAATCCTATCAAGATTATCCAAGAAATATTGGACAGAATCACTCTGAAAATATCAAATTAAATATATAGATACAGCATACAAAATTAAAAAACAATTAGAAAAATAATTGTACAGATATGTAATATATATGATATATTGTATAAAATAATTTGTTAATATGTAAAAATCTTACTAATTGAAATTCTCTTCGCCTATCAAATGCTCTTCTTATCGATGCATCCTTCCATAAACTTTGTAATGCTGGTACATAATGCAAAAATAATCTAGTATCCAGTACCATAGTATTTTCAAACTTGAGTAATTGAAACCCGATATCATAATTCTTAGGGTTCTCCCAGGGAATATTTAACTTATCCCGAGCATCTACTAAAACCTTCATCCCTTTAATTATATTCTGGTAGATCACATGTTGATATTCTTTAACTAATTCAGGCTGAAAAAAAATATCAAATATTAAATTTTATAAAAATTTCTTATTAAAAAAAGCACGTCTTGCGACAAAAAAGTATTAAATATCAAGATAAATGTATAAAAAACGCTCATTCATAAATTACACATATATATACAGAATAAACGTATATGTATATGTATATGTATGTAAAAAAACATCAATCCTTACTGACAATGAAATAATTTTCAATTTTAGAACTCTATTACACGCTTATAACTAAATTAGTATTGTTCTGTAAAAAATTTATGATTTATACAATAAAAGAATGTAACAAAATAATCGAATTCGTGAGACGATACAGAGTAGTCCATCTCCATTTGAATTACAATATTCATTTTTCCAAGTTGTACAATTTATTGTAATTTTCACACACTCTGCTGTAAAACAAAACATGTGTGTATTGCATATGCATTTTTTATATATTCTTGTAGACGCTTTATCGATATTATAGTGCCAATTATTAATAAAACATCGAGGTAAAATCCATTTAAGTATTTCGATGCTAATTGAATGCAGGCTAAATAACCGATTGTTCTGCACAAAACGGCGCCGAGCGCTTCCGACAGCTTGGAGCAGCCTCTAGAGCGATCGAAAGCCGATCGATCGGATCGCGCGAACACGCGCGAACCGAGTGTTTTCGGCTCTTACCTCGAACTTGATCCCGTGTATGATCCGCATCTGTTTGAGGAATGTCGACTTGCCGCTCTCGCCCGCGCCGAGCAGCAGCAGCTTGACCTGCCGGCGAAACGTCTGGCGATCCTTCTCCAGCATCCGGTCGATCTCCTGGCTCTTGTAACGTTGCTCGATCTCCTCCGGGCTGAATTTAAAACGCAGGCAGCACGACCACGTTAAGGAGCTCGCCATCTTGCTCTACCCCGCTTCTCCCTCTCCGTCTATCCTGTCTTACCCTCTTCCTCCCTCACCACCTTCCTTCCTTCCCTCCTCGCTTACGTTCCGTCCTCCTTTCTTGCGTTCCTTACGCAGTTCCGTCTTACTACTCCGTCTCCTGACCCGCGAACAATCAACCTCGTCTCTCTTTCTCTCTCTCTCTCTCTCTCTCTCTCTCCCTCCCTCTCGTCAAAGTGACAATGGAACGTATCAATCGAACGCACGCTCTATCTTCGACGACGACGACAAACCCCCTACCCGACCAATCTGTCGCCGCCTGCCATCCACCCACCTCAGCGCGCAAACCGAGAATCGGGAGAATCGCCGATTCAGAGCCGCATTTCTCGGCCAGGCCAGGTGTAACCGGCCGGAATGCGCGAGCCCGCTACCACTACCGCCACCATCAAGAAGCGGATCAGAAGTGTCGTGCACGCACTCGCACGTCGACGCGGGCGGCTTTTTCGCGATCGATTTCAAACGAGCCGCATATCACGTTCACCCACACATGTATAACACCCGGTTGCGATATATGCGGGACGTAGCAGTACACGTAGCATCTCGAAGCACGCACACACGCGGAAGGAATCGCGCGCTGCTAAATCACGATGTCACCGTGGTTGCTCGCTTCGCGCGATCGTCTCCGCTGCTGATCCGCGAATTGGGCATGATTAAATAATCACGGTAATTACCGGCACTCCTCTCGTCGCCTCGCGAGCACGTTTTGTGTGTCACGACCGCCTGTGATACGCTCGTTGCACCGCCTTAATTCTCTCTCTCTCTCTCTCTCTCTCTCTTTCTCTTGTCCTCCCTCCTTCTCGTTTCTAAGAAGCGGCAAGTCGACCTATTTGCTCCGCGGCACACCTTTTCCTCCGTGTTAATGTGCGCCTGTGCGATGTCTGGTACGAACGGCCGATTGCTACATGATAAAGGCGTTGACACAAACACATAAATCACACAGACCCGAGGTGCAAAAAAATGCCGCTCTAATTTTCCAATGTCCCCTATCTAATCTCTTTCCATCGCCACCGAACACTGTGACTGTTGGACAGGTTGGACTGTTAGACCAAAGTCAGTGTTGATAGACGGGCTCTTTTCGCGCATGCGCCTCGAATGCGATGCAACGAAGTATCTAGTCGAGTATAACAAGGTCCCGTATGGTCCCTATACCCGGTGGTTTCTTAAAACTATTTAGAAATTTTTGAAATTAAAAGAGTGAAATGGAGGGAATGGGATTATAGGATGTGTGAAATTGCAATTGTGAGATAAATTTGATGCAGTTTATAAAAAATAATTTGATACGATTCGAAATGCGCATTCGAGATTACGTTCTACCAATCGGAAGGAAGAAATCTTAGTTCCTTTTGTTCCGATTGGGCAATTAAATAATATACTGCGACGAATAGAATCTTTGAACGCAACCTAAACGTTTTGTCTGCCGCTCTCATTGGCCGGTTTTTCGTACCAAAAGAAACTTTCTTACCAAACACTGACATGAAAAGAACAAAACTACTCTAGTTATTTTACTCGGTTGATACATCTTACGAGTATCAGAGCTCCTTCTAATGCAGATGTAAATAAATCATGGACGTGATGCAATTTTATTGTAGTTTGTGTCAATAGTGCACTGTGATGTGATTAGAGTTCTTCGTGCATAGTCTTCTGCTTTTTTTTAGAAATGTCATTCTTCGACTTTTTTCGAAATTTTCTCGGTACAAAACATCGCAACGAGCCTGGCACAAGCGGGTAAGATTTTGACATATTTTTCTTTATATTAATTGCGTATGTATGTATATATTTCGGATCGTAGATCATTCTAGATGTTTATATGCGTGTCAAAAAAGTTGCCGTTTTATATTTCGTAATATTGATTGTATAAATCCTGAAATATTTCCTGCGTATATCTATATTACATCATAATATATTAAAATTTGCATATATCGATTACACAAATTCTTTGATAAATTTGTAACTTACACGTATAATATATACATACATATATACATATATATGTATATTTACTTATTTACGTACTCAATAATACATGGAATTTTATTAGACAATTTAACAAATTTGATGACTTTTATTCTTGTTTAATTAGTTTCTAATAAATGTAATTCATAAAAATCGTACACTTTGCAAAAATGTCTAAAGTATAATATATGTATAATTAAATTTATCTTTCTTTTCTGTATCTTTTTTATCTTATTACCAATTGTACTATTGTTTAACAATATATCAAAATAAAATAGCAAAATTATGCAATTTTATAAGCTGCAATTAATCAACAATATTATATTTTAGGCTTGGCAATGATGATTCGTACAGAGACAGTTTTCGAAATCCAATTTGGCAAAGTGACGAGGATGATGACGACATAGATGACTTTCGGTAAAGAAAAGAATAATTCTCTATCAATGTCTACAAATCAATATGTATTGAATTTATTCTTAATTTATTTTTTATTATCTTAGACATCCTAGAAGCGGCATGCATTTCAAGATCTTTAGCGGGCCGCTTGAAATGACACGTTATTTTGAATCTCAGATGGATAATATGTTAAAAAATTTCTTTTTTGGATTCAATAATGAATTTTTTGGTATGTTCATTTTGCATATAATGTTATATAGATTATGAATGAAATATAGTATACACAGATATATAATGTATAGATGAAATATGCAAAATTTAATAAAGGTTTTTACTAAAAACTTAAATCTTTTTAATTGTACGTTATAGAATTGTATATAATTCTAAATGAATGATTCTTACAGGAGATGAAGCTAATAAAGCATTACCATTTGTTACACCTGAAAAGGATGATAATTTACGTGACGAAATGCTGAAATCTTATCCTGATGCATTTATCACAGATGTACCACCCGAACAAAAAATAGATACAGATATAGATGGAAAGTAAGCACTTCTTTTTTTTATCTATTTCTCTTTGTATCTGAGATATTTAATGTAACACGACTCATTACATAGGATTACTACAGAAGAATTCTCAAGAATGTGGAATAAAGGAAATGTAGAAATAGTAAAGCCTTTTGTACCACATAGCTTTTCAACTGGAAGGTCTGTTAGAAAAGAGATTATTCGTAGATCTGATGGAACTATAGAACAAAAGCAAATAATTAGAGACAGTGAAGGTAATGAAGAAATAATAGAATCAAAGGAAATAGGTGATAAAAAATATGTCATCACTACAAAAAAGGATAAAAATGGTGTTGAAACAAAATCTGAGGATTTGTTTAATATTGATGAAAGTAAGTATTTAAAAGAAGAAAAAATTATATATATATATATATATATATATATATATATATATATAATTTAAAATTTAAATTTAAATTTAAAAACAATTGTAAAGAGAGAGATGCCAAGGAGACTGTAAATTACGATTTTTTCAACATAAAAGTGGCTATAACTCGAAGACGATTTGTTTCGAGACCTATGTTTATATAGCTTTTTTCCTTTTTTTTTTTTGAATATATATTTCTTTTTTCTTTGTAATATAATAAAGTATCTCGGAAACAACATATATCCACAAAAAATATTCAGACGAAAAAGTTGCAGAATTTGAAAGAAGATGAATTTAATCATCCTGATGCTTCAAAGGTCATATAAAAAAATCATCTTAAAAATTTTAAATGATCATCATTTTACTGCAAATTCCTCATTCTTTTTGCAACTTTTATCTAATTTTTTTTTCCATCAAAAATACGATGTAAAGTGTTGTATATATATTATATCTTTTAAAATGCGTGTAAGCGTGGATGTGTAAAATATATGTGGATATTTAAATTTTACTAATCTAATACAAAAAAATTTTGCAAATTGCAGGCGAACTTAAAGACTTCGCGCAAAGATGGACGCCTTCCATTAAAGATAATATAGATAGCGATAATACAACTTTAAATCGCTTTCCATGGGAAAAGTTTTTCGGACCCAACCCCAAATTATAGTACAGTAAAGTAAATAGAAAGTAATAGTTTCCTTTTCCTAATAGTTAAAACACTACATGCCTCCTTTGTAAAAAATCTATATTAAATATCCAATAAATTATTTGAAACAAAGGTAGTATATATAATTTTTATTTCTAACTGTAAATTTCTTTATTTCATGGATTAATATTCTGTACATATATATTATATACATATACATGTTTAATAAAATTTATAACTTGCAAAGAAAAAATATTTTTGTTAAATTTATACAAATTCTTTCTCACTTGAAAATGAAGTGAAATTATCATTAATAAGAACTTGACCTGTTTTTACATTACATGAGAATTTCAATTGTTTAGTATTATTTATTTATTATTTATTATCTATTATTAAGTATATATATATATAATTGGGTAATCATAATATCCCATATACCACGTGCAGCACAAGTGCATCTGCACACATTTAAAGCTATACTAATTTTGAACATTCTTTAAAACAAAAACTTTTTGAAATAAATATTTCAATATTAATTACAATTCTCCTTCTGTCTCTTTGTGTAAAGAGAGACAGCAATATATACACAAATTATTTGATTTACATATTTTTAATTTTACAATTTATGTTTTATAATTTCATGTACATACAGGACTTCCAAAATAAAATAATATTCTTAATCCTAAATTTGTGAAATGGCATTTCTTTGTCCATATATTAAAAAAAGTAGATAAAAAGAATGTAATATAATTATGATAGCAATATATTCAACATATTGCAAACATAAATCTTGTGCAAATTTTTTGTTAATTCGACATTTTTCACTTTCATAAAAGAATGTCTAGGCATAAATAATATGACAAGTGACCATTTTTCTATTTTTACTTAATAGTCTAGTATTGCATAAACAAATCTTATATCAATTTTAATAAATCCAAATATTTTATGCATATTTAAGTAGTGTCCAATGTATTATGCACACTTCTTTTACGCAATCGCAAATACAAATAATTATGTGTACTCTGCATAGATATGTTGTGTGTATACAAATTATTAGTAAATAAATACACAAATTTAAGATTACATCCCAGGAGTCCTAAAATATTTTCGTTGTTGTAAATACATTAAAAAATACCTGATATATTTTTTTATCGGGGTAACTTCACACGTGTTTCATACACATTTCAAAGGCAACATGCAATGTATTGATAGGTCTCATAAATGATAACACTAAGATTGAGTATGTACGACAAACACTAAATGATAAAAGTGATTTTTTTCTGGTTGACTATTTAAATGTAGCAGATATCTATTATCTATCTGAATAGATATAATTTTAATATCTGCTATATAGAAAAGATAATTACTGCCACTTTACTAGGTGACTTCCCAGGATAAAATTGTTAATCATCTATAATGTGTTTTAATTATTTATAAATTTAATATTTACAGTATATATTATGAAAGAGAAAAATTTTCGCGAAATCTATATCTATTTAGGCTTTAAAATATATTAAAATATAATAAAAAGTATATTAATAATCTATAATATATAAATTTAAATTGTTTTTTTTTAATATAGAATTATTATGATTGGTAAATTATAACAGACACAAATACATAAGTTGCATTATATAAATTAGATGCAACATTTTTAAACATATTTTCTTTAATAAAGATAAATCTTTTTTTTAAAACGTTGAAATAATTTTTTTGGTTCATGCGTTCATATGCTACAAAAAAAAACAAATTATACATATTCTCATCTAACTTTGTCTATTATATTTATATATACATATGTATGCACATACATATATACATATACATGTATGTATTATGAATTTTATTAAATTTCATGTCTTATTAACGTTTTATGTCATTTTCATGAATTACAAGTAAAAAATGTCAATAAGATATGAAATAAATTGAAATAAACTGATATTACTTTAGATCACTATGTTATCTTTGCATGTAATTATTATGATGCCTCATACAAATTTTTCGAGCAACATATAAACAGTTTTAATTATTTGCAACTTTTACACTGTTAATAACAGTTATTCCCGACAAATTTCAGATGTAGCATAAACTCCATTTCACCATTGGTTTATAGCACTATTCTAAATTTTGTTTGCATCATCCACTATTCATATACATAATATGTAGCATACCTATTATATATTATTAATTAGCATTATTATAATTATTCTTGGCCAAAACCTTCTGTTTCTTCAATTGCATAATTTAATTTCTCCACTAATTGGTCGTAACTTTTGTAGGGTGGCAAATCTAATCTGTTGAAACAAGTATGTGATCTTGGCAGCCATGTATCCTTTCCAAATTTTTCTATACAAAATCTTTGTGGACCATTGCTTCCTGTAATATAACATGATAACAATTATTATTTTAATCACGAAATAACTTCATTTACTGATAATATTTTTAATTGATAATCTCTGTATCAATTTTCCCATTAAATTTTATAAAATAATTTATAAAATTATATCAAGACGCGTCGATCTATTTCTTATTTTCATAACAAAAAAGCAATTTTTATCTCTTACCCATTAGTTCGGCAAATCCACCAACAGGCACACGGCAAGTACCAGTTACAAATTGCAGTAATCTAGCCCTTTTCTCACTATCTGTTCTTGTTACAAACTGAAATACAAATAGCAAACATTTAAACTTAATATTGAGTAATAATTGTTATGAAAGATTTTATATTATAGCATTAAGATTTCTCACTGCAGTTATATTGAATTATAATATTGTAAGCAATATAAATTTTTGTTGCAAAATAATTTTTCTACCCCATTCGATTAAAATAAGACAAAAATACTTAACAAACCTGCCAGAACCACAGGATCTGTTTACTATTACGAGTATAATGTCTATAAATAGTATTGCGTTGCCAGTCTTCTACATCTATTTCCTGCATCCCACAAAGCATAAGTTCTAACTCGCGTTCATCAAAATATTTGAGCCATTCAAGAGGTACAACTGAATTAAAGCCTTCTAAAAATGCTTTTGTCTGTTCCTCTATGCCCCTTGTCATTCTCCATTCTGTCATTAACCTATTGAGGATATAAATTCAAGATTAAAACTTTGCTTCCTTGCAGATATACAGTTGCAATAATCTATTGTTGAAAAGAAATTATACCTGATATATTCTTCTTTATTGTCTTCACCTACTCTAACTTTATCACCACCATCCTTTAACTCGTGATGTATTACTTGACCAAGAATCTCAAAATCCACACTATAATATAATTCTAGGCCGCACTCATCAATATTGTTTTCCTTAATCCATACGAGAGATTTATAAAATTCTGGATCAATGGATTCTATATCTTTCATAACTAATTTTTTATTTAACATGCGTTTGTAAAACGGCATTGTAAATCCGCTATATATGAATCGGCCATGATAAAGAGCCTGAAAAGATAAAATAATGTTTTCATGCAATTGTTTTTGTTTAAAGTGGCATATATAGATAAAACTTAATCATTATCTACAAATAATAAAAATCTCAAAAGAGATATAGATCGTTATCTGAAATAAGAGATCATACCATTGCAATAAATCTGCCAATAAATTTGAAATATTGCAAATGATCAGGATTGACATACGAAGCTGGATTTATTTGCAAACTATAATTGCTTTTATTGGCATATTCGAATAGGCAGTACATCGGATTCAAAACTTCGTGGCTCAGTAGGAAAAACCATTCTCTGAAAATCACATAAATGTTTAATTTCTCTTACAATAGAAGCCAAGTAATAAGTGTTACAAGAGAATTTTTTTATATATTAGTGTATGATAAAAAATCATTGCATAGTTGATTTCTTTAAGCATTTTTCTATTTTCTTTTATGTCAAATTAGACATTCTTCTTTAAACTATTATTCTTCATTTTTCAAACATTTGCTATGTAAGATGCGTTAGATATCAAAGTAAAAAAAAGCCAATAAAAAACAATATTTTCATTCTGGATATATACGATATTGGAATATATGAAAATACAAGACAATTTTAAAATAAAAAAGTCGATTGTATAAATTTTTTGCATATATTACTTACCTAGATACACCTCCATAGTCCAGACCTTCTTCTCCTTTAAATATTATGTATAATCGCCGTCTTAGTGCAAAAGCTTCTGCATTCATTATTTGATGATAAGAATCCTCAAACAATGTCTGCCGACTAACGCTAATTTTAATATGATTAGGCAGCGCGTTAGTTTGACATAAGAACCGGAACTGAGACAGTTTCCATCGGAATGATCTTTCATATGCTCGAGGAACACGATATACACCTTTAGGGCTACACGAGAAAAGAACAAAATATATGATAATTTACTGAATAGAGTGTCAATTTGATATAATATATTTCAATAACACAAACCCTTTAGGTGCACCAGGTCTTGGATCTTGAAACGTTGTTGTTCGGGTGTTATGATCAACGAAATAACGAACCCCATCTTCTGTTAATCGTATTTCCCAGCCATCTGGTAATGGTGGTTCATCCATTCCAGTTTCCTGACCCTGCGTTCGAGGATCTTCCCATTGTGTGGTCCTATTTTTATGATTTACATAATAAACTCTACCCTCTGGTTGCTTTCGTCTTTCCCAACCAGCCGGTAATGGTCCCAAAGCATCGTCATCATCGGCCGCGGACGTCGACGGACCCGCAGCAACTTGATTTCCATGAGCCTACAATAATAATTTTATAATAATTTTAATTAGTTCAATTTTTTAATATAAAACTTAAATCTTTTTCTCTTGCTCTAAAGTTATATTTAAAGAATTTTATTTATTATTTTAAGTTAATCAATTCATATTTACCTGGGGATAAAGAAACCTTTGATTGCCTTGTTGAACGACATATTGTCTTTCACCTTGCCAATGTTGGAAATGCTGTAATCTCTCTGTATTTGGTCTCTGCCATGTGGTACTTCTCGTATTATGATCGACGTAATAAATTCTACCTCTTGGATCGCGACGAACTTCCCATCCAGGAGGCAAAGGCTGGGGTCTCTCCCAAGACGTACTTCGAGTATTATGATCGACGTAATATCTAATAATAATAACACAAAGAGAAAAAAACATGATAGATAAATATTGCTCAAAAAAAAGATACTAATCAATATATATTTTACCTTCTTCCATATAAATCATATCTCATTTCCCAACCAGGCGGCAAGGGTTCTTCGGAATGATTAACATCTTCAGCGAGTAGTACCGAGGATCCTGATTGCGCTGTCGCGGGTACAGCCATAGGTTGACTCGGCAAAGGAACCGCAGTCTGCGGAATTCGCGATGCACCAGAACGAGGATCTGGTGGCACGGCAGGAGAGGGCATGTGTTCCGCGATAGAAATAGTCCGTCCGTCGGGTAAGGAAAACATCGCTGACTGTTCCGATCGAGAGACGGATGATGCGGTACGATGACCGTCTGTCGGCAGAATATTCGCATTTTGTGGACGAGGAAGCGAAACACGTAGATCTGCATTTAACGATTGTTCCGCGCGAGGAATTCGTAAATCTTCCTGCAGACGAACGCTTGTAGACTGTTCCGTAGGTTGTTGCCTCGCCGCGCGTAGATCTTCGACCGTACGAACAGATTGCTCGGATTGCCTTATTCCTCGCGAATCTTCGTTTAAACGAAGGTTATTAGCTGATTGTTCAGTCTGCTGTCTCATCCCACGCATATCCTCGGATACACGAATGCTGCTCGCGATGGATTGTTCCGGTTGTCTTATCGCACGTAGATCTTCATTCGTCATACTCATCCGTCGAATATTCGTAGGCTGTTCTGTAGGTTGTCTAGTTTCGCGTAAATCGTCTGTTAGGTGGTTGCCGCTCGTCGATTGTTCCGATCGTGTTAATACACGACCATCTGCTAGAGTTGTGACAATTGTCGGTTGTTCGATTCGTAGAGTGTGTTCCGGTGTTCGTGTCTCGACAACCGGTTGTTCTATTCGTAGTGCGTGTTCCGATCGTGTAATTACACGACCGTCTGGTGAAGTCGGTTGTTCTATTCGTAAAGCACCACCGCTATTGCGTGCATCTGCATGCAAAGACACGTTCAGATCTGTTTGAGCAGCACCTGAACTATCTATCGGCTGATCTTGTCGCAAAATGCCTCGAACATCCGCCGCACATGTTTGCTGTCCGGGAATCATCGAAGAGGATTGTTCTGATCGAGGCATACTACGTAGATCCAACTTGGCCATCGTGGATTGTTGCTCCACCGGATTGCCATAACTGCCTCGCCTGTATACTCGGCCTTCCGGCGAATTAGCCGACGCCGGAGATTGATCTTTAATAGTCAATCTACCTGCGAAAGTTCGTATGTTTGCGGCATGCCGATTTCCCGGGGACATCATAGATTTATCAACTATTGGAATCGCGTGCCCGTTCATTAAAGTATTTGCAGAGAGACTGCTACTGCTGCTAACATTATTACCCGATGTGCCGTCTACGCTTGAAATTATTGTGGTAGAAGATCCAATATTTGCTGCATTACTATTTGTTTGACTGTTTCCACTGTTGTAGTTGGGACTAAGATGAATATTTGTCAAACGACACATAGACGGCGCGAGACTATCTGAACTATGCAATCTCATACGCGCACGGACTCCACCGTTGAGAATGCTTCGGTTATTCATCGTATCATTATTTGTGGCACCTAAAATCAAAATCAATCTGATATGTAGTAAAGAATAGAAATAAAGAATAGAAAAAATAATATTGCGATATAATTTAGTGGCACTGTATATTCGATTTATGTAAATATCTCACTTTTACTGTACACAATCTCACAATTATGATTAAATATTATCTCATTTAATATCTTAATTAATATAATTTTTAATGACAAACAATTTTCCTTACCATCTGATTGTATTTGGCAGAGAGGTTCATTAACATTCACTGGTGTCTCATTAGTGGTATCAATTCTAAGTCCATCAAATACTGTAATCAATTCACCAACTTTACATAACTGAGAATCATGTTTGCTTTCGCTCATTAAATCAAATGTTAATTCCAAATTTTCTAATTTTCCATTATAATGTGATAACACTTGGAATAGGCTTATCCGTTTTTCTCCTATTAATGTATCTTTGCGAAATGTACTATGGTCAAGAAGTCGAAAGTGCAATTGTGAATATGGCGTGACAAGTATAGTGAATTCTTCGTTCCATTTTGGCTGATACGTAGACTTTGATACTTCTGTTTTACGAGGACTTTTATCATCGACTGAGAACTCTATATATGGATTAGGCTTTAAGAAAGTTGAACTTCTTAATATTGCTGCTTCAACTAAAATAAAATTAAATATCATTATTAAATGTAATAGATAAAGCAGTCAATTCTGCTTATTACAATTCAGCTTATTTCATATTCTTATTTATAGTTGTAACAAAAAAAAATTTAAATAATTAAAAAAGAATTATAAAAATACAAAAAATTAAAAACATAAAATTTTATTTTTTTACAAGAAAAAAATATATGTACATATATTAAATTTTGTACATATATATATATATATATTTTTTTTTTCTAAAATATAAGCATTTTGACATAATTATAGAAGATTATAGTAAGGTATTATATATAGTAAAAAAGATGAGACCATTATTCATTATTTACAAATTAATCTATTTGTTATACATTAGTATCATAGCTAAATGCAACATTTATTTTGATGATTCAACAATTTGATTGATAATTAATATCAATGTAAAACTTACAAATAATATATATATCTGAATAGATAAGAAGATATTTGTTCAAAGATATAACATGATAAGAATATTTGAGACAAGCGAGTAATGTGTAATATAATAATACCACTATAATAATTAAAATAATAATAATATAATAATACTTTTATAATAATACCACAAAAATCTTACTTGGTTTTTCAAAAATATATTTTTGTACAAAGATGTATTTATCTTTTAGAAAATAAGATTTTGCTCATAAATGTTGTAAGATGCATGTCTTGTATCTCTTTTTATCGCTTTTTATCTAAATATCAGATTACTTACTTGTGATACTTAATTGGTGAAAACCAGGTGATACTGCTTCTTCTTCGCAATGGGACATTGTACAAAGTTAATTATAATTCAAAATAATATCTTAAAAGATTCATAATTTTTCTATCAAATTACTCTCTTGTAATATCTGCAACACAAACACAAATTTAATAAATAAAAAATTTATAGACTTAACTCTAGAATTATTTTTCTATTACAATCATATGAGATTCTATACATTAACAATATAAATAATTACAATAATTGCCATCAAGGAAAACAAAAAAAGGTAATATTTTTATATAAAGTAAATATTTTTATATAAATTCGGAAAACGATACAATCTTAACGAACGATTATATAATATATTTGCCCAAATTGAGCTGTTGTAACAAATCTATAAATGTATTATGAAGAATATCCGTAAACAACTTATAACGCATTCCTACACTTGTATACAATTTGACATCAGATATTATTAACGTGCACAAACTAATTCTTTCTTTACATATATCTACATGGGCGGATAAGAAATTACAAAATCGTCGATGATTCGTCATTAATCTTACGATCGTTGAAATGTTATCACACTCGATGAACACTCGTGAATACTTCGCGCAGAGAGAATCCCAAGTGAAGGAACAAATAGCTCGTAATTAGCTGAACTAACCGATGTACGAACCGAAACGACGTCTCCGGCTGTTCACGATATCCCCAATGACGAGTTGCCGTCGTCCATCGTTCGCTCGACTGACAATCTTATCGCGACGAAAATTAATGGAAACACTCGGGACTTGCGTTATCATTAAACCTCGCTATATCAATCGGTCACCATCTTTTCATACGTCAAACGTAGAGTCTCTTTATGTATCGTGCGCGAAAGACTGCAGAGTAATCGCGCAGTTTCTTTTTCCTTTTATCGTTAAAAAAATATTCCGTTGCTAAACAGCCGGAAATGCGATTCTCGAAATGCTAGATACACGCATGCTTCATGTTTCCATCCGTAAAATTTCCGCGAGTTTGATTCACACGCGAAAAGCCGTGTCGCAGACTCACGTCTCTTGCTTATATAAATAAAGACAACTACTATCCAGGATATATCTTTGGAAAAGAGATAAAGATAGTCACCAAATGTAAAGAACCACCCACACCAAAGTCCCATACGTACGAATTCTGATTTAATCTTCTAATCGAAAAAGTCACGATAAAAAGAGAGAACTGTCGCGTGAATCGCTATCTCTCTCTCTATAATTAAAGATTTTCGATACGAATTTTATGTCCGAAACGTCAGAAATGTCCTCGCTTCAAGTTAAGACATTTTTAGATCGGGTATATCGCGTCTAGGTATTCGTGCTATCATGATTGTACTCCTACGTCAAAAATTCATCGTACGACAAATGTAATGTATGTTATTGATTGGCTATTGCGAGAAACTTCCTAGAAGTTCTCTAGCCGATAACCAATCGATACGTCCAATAAACTCATCACATGACAAATGCAATATCAAAGGTTTTCTCAAAAAAATCCGGAGTGAAACAGATGTTTGGTTGACCAATGACAAAAGGAGCAAAGGTTTTTTTTGTTTCGATTGATTAATCGAACGATACTTTACCTGTCCTGTTTACCTGAATAGATATTTACTCAAGTGATAAAAAAAGTGATATTATAAAATAATTAGAAAAGGTAAGTGTATATTATTTTTATCAAGATTCTACTTTTCCATGCAATGGTACCCTTATTGTAGAGTCAAATGTATACGTTACTGAGGCCTGACGCTTGGCGCATGCGCGCAGTTTTGTCCCTCGACTCTCCTGTCACTGCGCGGCGTATGTCAGTGTGTATCGCGCGCGCGTCATATTGACACGCGCGCTCGTGTTCTTATCGTTAAAATAGAATTGAATTACATATCGACGAGACGAGAGAAAATTAGCGGAACGGCCGCGAACGTATCGTAACCTTCCTATCTCATGCGAGATACACGATCGGTTCTCTCTTTCTCCCTCTCATGGCGTATGTCAATGTAGCCGAGTGGAAGACGGACCAGGTGTGCGAGTGGCTGAAAGGTGCGACGGAAATATTTTATTAGCGCGTTTGAGATTGTGGGAAAAATGGGTAATGCCGTGAAAAACATGTCGGAATTCTATTCTTCAATTTTGTATGCGCGTATACGTATGTGTGTATATGTGTTTGTGCGTGAGAAAATCCATTCTCTCCGCGTATACCCTCCCCCGCTTCCACCCCCTCCTCTCCACCCTTCCCTCCGGCCTATCGGTTTATTAATGCGTGTAAAAGACCGCTTTCATTCACTCATTCGTTCATTCATTCGTTTATTCATTCATCCATTTGTTTGTTCGATCTTCGTTGCGCAATTCTTGCATGATTTCCTGTGCTCTCGAGGAAATATAATCGATTGAGATTTAACTCATTAAACGAATCTCTAATTAATGACAACGAATGTCATTTTCTTACAATAATTGATTTTTGCAGATTACTGTAATTTATCTTGTAAACAGATTTGGTACTAATTTTGTTTTTTGTAGTTTATCATATTTACAATTATTTAAAATAATATATATAAATAAAGGATTATATTATAATTTTTAAGGATTATATTATAATTTTTATATACATATTTTACATAATTTTTCAAATTCTTAATTGTATTAATATTTATCTACAATGCGGTATAACTCTTTCTTGCCTTGTTATTAAAATAATGAAGTATCATCCTAGATAATTACTACCTATGACTCATCTCAGGAATGTTGCCCATCAATGCTATTTTTTTTGTGTTACAGGTCTAGATAATTCCATACTTCCCTATGTCCATAGTTTTATGAATCATAGTGTTAATGGACAACAATTACTAAGTTTACAACCAGAGGATTTGGAACATTTGAGTGTACTAAAACTTGGGCATCAAGAAATTATACTTGAGGCTGTAGAATATTTGAGAAATTTTCACTATGAATTGGACAGAGAAAATCTGCAATTACTGGCACTGCGACTTTCATGCCAGGCACACAGCTTACACAATGAATTGTCTCGTCAAACTGATTCAAAGCCTGTTACAACTCAAACATTATCGGATGTAGCATCAGTTGTGATGGCAGTCAAACCTTTAGTAAGATGGCTCGATCGTCCTCCATTCTGTGGTCAATTGGAATATAATGACAAGAAAACTGAATTGATGAAACTATCTTTGGAAATGGCTACATGTGCACAAAGGGATAGATTTGCTGAGAAACCGATTGAAGAGATCAGAACAACTTGCGATCAATTGGCAAAATTAGCAGATTATATTATTCAAGATACCGATGATCCTATGATTTTACAACCTGCCAGTTTAGATCTAGCAACATTAAAAAAGAAATCTGGTGATGATTTGGTAAGTCTTCAATAATTACATAATACAATTGCTAAGTCTCAATTGTTATCAACTTCTCATACTTTAAATTTAATTTAATTTTAAATTAAATATTGTAAATATTTGTATCTAGACTTTATATAATTTATTTATAATTATACTGGCTACAATAATTTTCTTAATAATTAGATTACTTATTGAGTAGTCATATTAACTCTAGAATGATTTGGCCATCACATCCTGCATTGATAAAACTCTATCAAACAAGTCATAATATTGTGACTGTGACTTCCTGTCTAGATAATTTGCTTTGTAAGCATGATCAAGATACCTCTATTGAATTAATAAATTTTCATACAAATATATCATATATTGTATATTTATAATATTCTTTATTTAATTATAAAAATTAAATTCTCTTTATTCTTTTTTCTTCTGTTATTTCTTAGGGTTTTTATATCTTACCATCTTTTCATGGAGTACATCAGATAGCTGAAATAAAGTTTGGATCTGCTGCACATCAATGTGGTAAAATGGAAGAAGGTGATGAGATAGTTCAGGTAGGCAAAATCCATTTTTGCAATTAAATTTTGGTAAATTGTTTAATTGTAAAATATATACATATGTGTAAATTTGTTAGGTAAATTATCAAACGGTAGTTGGTTGGGAGAGAAAAAACTTGCTTGAATTATTTCGTGAGAGCCCAGCAGAAATCCTCTTGACTCTAAAACGTAGGCCAAGGCATACTAAAGTTTATGGGCAAATTTATATAAAACCATATAGACTTCCAAGTAACAAAAAAACCTCTTACACAACACGATGGCAACATAATCTTCCATCCCCTAGACCAGAATTATTAACAATACCTGACTTTACAATGCCATTACCTAGGTAAGCTGTCTTTCTACATGTATTTTAATTGTGACTTGCTGCTAATATTCTTTTCTTTATTTAATAACATTGATATGCACACACATACATGTTTACATCATAAATTGTGTGTGATGTATATATATGTAGCATGTAGTTTTAATCTAACAAATGTATCTTGTTATTGCTTCCTCTATATTTTGAATTTAAGTCTAAAAACATTTATTTTTATATTAGTTAATATATTTTATATACTAATTAAAATATTTTGTTACATAGACATATGCCAAAGAATCCCAGTCCGGAACCGGCAAGTATTTTAGATACGGTTAATATGTTGGACACAATGGCCACGGATAGTAGCGATTCGGATAGCGAGGTAGAACCACCTCTTTCTATCCGTCTGTATTCCGCGAAACCGAGAAATTTAGTCCAAAGACGAGCTACGATTACGGGTGCCAGTCCTACGTCGAAACACGGTATCGATATAGAGCAATTTTGGAAGGAGCTAAAGCAAGAGCACAGTACGACCTTTCAGTTGCGTGACAAAGCGGCATCCTGCGCCCATGGTCTAGATAATGTATTACCAGTGGTAAATATACGACCACAAACATGTTTAGGATTAGAATCGACGAAAAAGAGGAAAAAGACTGATGAACAAACAGACGATAAGAAGGTGCAGTTTGAAGAAAAGTTGACCGACGTTGAAAGCATTCATCCAGATGATGCGAAGAGAACGACTCACAATGTAAGGGAAAGAGTTACACCTACACAAAGTTGTGACGATGGCACGAATGCTACAAATAAAAATAGCAATAATAAGAAACAAGTGATGGATAATGTCAACGATAGCAATAATATAAGTGATATAATCGTGCCTTTGGATGAATGTAATAATTTTATCGGAGATACATGTAATATTAATAAGAACACGCTGGATAACACAGAGACCGGCGCACGATATGTTAAAGAACGCGGTAAATTAGATAAAAGCTACAGTACGCCTGCATACGATCTATCGGATACTGAAGATAGGGAGGAGGATAGAAAATTAGCGTTTTTGCAGAATCCATTTTGTAAATTAGATTTACCTGTTCATTGTTCGAACAATGTACCAAGTGGTGCTTCAACAAAGACTGATGTTTGTACGTATACCGACAGTGCTATTGATGAAAAATTGAAGAATACGAATGGAGAACATAAAGAAACATCTATGTCTAGAATATGCGGCGGGAATGTCGCGCGAAAAATCAGCGATATCGAGAAACAGATAGCGCATGAAAACGCAGAGGAACAAGCAAGTGTCTTCGGAGTGCCTAAGGAATTAGATTCACGTAAGAATATTATACGCATTACTATAAACGACGCGAGTCCTAATAATAATTGTATAGAGAAAAACCAAAGCAATATCGATTGTAATATAGCCGAAGGAAATGTGAATACATGTGACGAGAAGCATTCTGTCACGGAGTTAAGTATCGAATGCGAAAAAGATGTTATAAACAAATTCCATTCTGGGGCTATTTGTTCGATAAATTTGGCAGACAAATGTCGCGAGAATATCGTTTGCAATAACTCGGAAATGTCAAATAGTGAAGAAGCATACAGTAGTAGTAGTAGTAGTAGTAGTAGTAGTAGTAGTAATAGTAATAGTAATAGTAATAGTAATAGTAGTAGTAATAGCAGCATTGAAAGAGATGAGACGTTGCAAAAATTCGACAGAATTTTGCAAACAGTTGATTGCGCCTTAACTCAGCATGCAAAATTGCTTGAGAAAAAGTCTTCCGTGATGATATCGAACGAAGATTCTACCAACACAAGGATATCGCCAAGCAATAACGTCAAATCTTCTATCGAGGACGATCTACCGAATGTTTCAAAAATGCAAATTAGTGGAAAACCACAAATTAAAGAGATAAAATCTGCAGAATCGCCCTTGGCACAAGCTATGATACAATCTTGCCGTTATATAGAATTACCGAAGATCGAGTCTGTTAGAAAACTTGAAAATAAATCTCATGTAACACCGCCAGAACCACCGCCTCGTAAGTATTACACGAAACACGCGGCGGTGGCCACAAATGACTTAAAATTAAATATTACTTCAAAAATTCCGAACAGTTTGGAAAAACCTCAAGTTCCAGAAAGACCCAAAATAAGACGAGACTTTAGAAAAGTAGATAACTTGAATTTATCTGTGAATCACACCAGAAGCAATTCAGATTGTCAAGATAGAGAAAATTCTTCTTCAGATGTTAATACAGAAAATTCAATTGATTTTATCGAACGACAAATTACAAGTTTAAATGATCAAAAATTTACTCAATCCGATACTTCGTTATATAATGAAAATGCCAACAAACAATTGAGAGAAGATAAATATTCGTTTGAAAAATACGAGCCATTCATCGAAAAGTTTGCTTGTTCGAGTCAATCTATAACAGACTGTTATAAATCTGGTCATTCTCCTCGCAATGTCGAATGCCTTGATGGTGCGACACACTCGAAACAAATGATATTGGATTTAAAGGCGAAATCATCAGAGAAAGATAAAAGTTTCGAGAAAAGTGTTGTTAATAGAGCTATGATGGTAGCTAGAAGTATTGGCTTACACAGTAGTTTGAGCAAATCTAATAGCAGTCCGAGAAGTAACAGAAAACGTAATATGTTGCTAGCAAGTAAGTACTATTAACGATTTCTTTTTCAATTGATTTTGCTCAGATTTATTTTGACAATAATACAATCAACCAAATTTTTGAAAATTTTGAAATACTACACATTCACTCAAAATTGTCCCTTATTTAAATATAATATTGTAGTTTGATACAAGTGATATCATTTTCAAAATTATATCTTATATTTTGAATTATTTAAGAATATAAAACTATATCGCTTTTTCTCTTTTTAGAGAGGAGAAATGTATCCGTGAAAGATGTTGGTAGTGGTGATTTGGAAGGATGGCTGATATATCGAAGCAGAGGAGCAGGCGGCGCATGGGCAAGGGCTTGGTTCGTGCTAAAGTGCTCATCATTGTACAGGTAAAATTGTTCGACAATTACGTGTTATGATAGCTTTTATATATCGAAGAAATATCGAACTAATTTTATTTTTTAGATTTAAGACACAAGACAGTGCGAAAGCCGATTGCTTGATCGTGTTAACGGGTTTTACCGTATCACCAGCAGCCGAAGTAAAATCGAGGAAATATGCCTTTAAGGTATATCATACGGGGACGGTGTTTTATTTTGCCGCCGATGCTGAAGATTCATTGATTCTGTGGCTAGATGCGGTCAGTAAAGGCACTCTGGGTGCAGATACCAACAATCAAACCATCGGACTTTTCAGCGAAACCGACGAAAGCGACAGCGAAAATCACAAGAGCAAGATAAAATGCACCTTGGAATCTAAACCAAATCTAGAAAAGAATTCGTTTGGTTCTTTGAAAAAGGTAGTGCGAAAGGATATCGCATCATTTAAAGACCATGAAATTAGTGGGGCGAGCTTGGATAGAAAATATTTGAAGTTTCTCGGTGCCAGAAATCAAAATATGCCTGTTCCAACGGCGCAATTTAGAAGTTACAGAAGAGTACTTCCCACATCGACGCCAAAGTAAAAATAACATCCTCGAGATTGCCTCTTATGTATATATCAAGAAATATATATCTTTAAACATAATATTTATCGTTTTATAGGAAAGAAGATTCCAATTCAAATTCTCCGGATTTGCAAATGACTATCGCGGGTAGCACATTTTATGGATTAAGCGGCTCACAAAGTGCCATGGATATGTCGAGCTCGTCAAACAATCAAGATATGGGTGATTATCGGCGTACTACGGATAGGTAATTTTTATGTATATTATTTTTCCTTGATATCATATTGCGGAAAAACGTTTCTCTATGCGGAGGATAACATATCTTACAACATTTTATTGTATAATAAATAAATACATAATATGTGTATAATATATAGATCCATCGATAGCCGTAATAGAAGACCGGATGATTTGCAAAGCTTTATCACGTTGGAAGAATTTATGTTATCTCAACAGAATGAGGATCAACAGCGGTCAAGTACCATAAATAGATCGCTGTCTCCACGCGCGACACCTTTGACCGGTGATCACGTGCATGTAGAACATAGGAACTTGAATAATAACGCGGCATACGGCGAGCAAATCAGACAGTTGAATGATACATTTTTGAATAATGATACTGGCTATATTTATGGCAAAACTAACGATGAAATATCGAGAAGTAGTAACGCTATGTATGCTCACTCGAGGAATACGCATGAGCATACAGTGCGTCAAGTCACCGGGGATTGCTTAGTTATTGCTCGATCTGAAACCAAAGGAGATTGCGTAAGCGATAAATCTTATGGCAAGTATACGGTCGGACAGAAAAAAATATGGGATCCCTCCGGGTCTGTGCAAAAGAGAAGACCGCAAGAATTTGCGAACGCTCAGCAGACAAGACATACAGGTGATTCGAATCATTGGAGAAACCCAATGAGTAGCCCTATAGCAAATAAGCATGATTCTCCGGGTTACAGTAGAGATTACGAACATAATACACATGTACAATCTTCCAATCACGAAAGCTACCAGACACACGATTGTGTTCCGTCCAGAAATGTCGGTACATCAGTAATAGAGGATTTCAAGACTGTACCGAAACGACACGTTAGAAATGACGGTAATCTTATGGATAACTTCTTGTAATTATGTTGATTTATAAAATGTTAGAAACAAAAAAGAATTTTTTTACACTATATCTATCAAAATAAAGTAATTTTTTTATGTTCTATTACAAAAAAATTTATATAAACTCACATCTGACGTCATAATTTGTTATGGCTACAAAGGAAATAGGAGTTGTAGTGTTTCAATGAAATCATATGATTTATCAACTGATCATGATTATTTGATATTAAATCTATTTTGACTTTTTTTATTTAGATTATTCTGGATCTAGTAGCGACCTCGCGAGTCACACATTTGAGGCACAACAACGCATAAATAATGTAACGATTAATCGAAAAGGAAGTTTCAATCTCACTAATCGTCACGATTATAATTCTTCCGATAAACACTGGCTAGACTCATTAAGACGCGGCGGCGATAAGAAAGGCTCGAATTACGATCAGAACCGTTTGAAAAACGTTGCACAATATCAACCACCACCTATAACGACTTCACCTTTTGAACAAGAAGGTATGAAAGCTGCGTTTGAAATGCACTTGGATAAGAACGATCAAATGCAGAAGGGGAATCGTCTAAAAAATTTATTCGGTACAAAACAACAGAAGCCTTGTAGTTTGGATCTTCCTAAAGACGCCCAAAAAACCATATTAGGCAAGCAATTTCTTTAAATATTAAGATATTATGATGACACGATTTCTTTTCATGCAAACTGATTTTAAATTTTATTACTATTGTGTATAAACAGGCTCGCCGAGATTGCATAGAGCGCTATTTCGGGACAAATGTTCTAATCAATCGCAGCATCGATTATCCACTCGTTCTGGCAGTCAGAGTCCTGGTGATAGTGGAATCAGTCAATCTCACAGTTCTTTTAGCGGCAATAGTCCTTCCCAAACACTCAGTCAAAGTTTCAGTTCTGTCAGTTCAGTTAGTGACTGGAGCCCGGACGTAACAACATCATCTAATATATCAAAGGTATGCACAGTTCTTTATTTTTATATATCGCTATTCTTTATTTTTATTTTCTCTCTTGTCCCAATCTCTTCTATATCATTTTAATAATACAATTACAAAAGCTAATAATTCTTCTATTTCAAGACACTTTTGTTACCAAAAATCGATATATTAAAATGTAAAATAATAATATAGACAATAGGACAAAATGATATATGGGAGAGAGTTAATCAAATGAAATTATAAACATATGTTACATCTTTTTTTTTGTTTTTCCATTTCTATGCATGTTCAAATATGAAATAATGAAATAATAGTGCAAGGGGAAATGATAAAAATAAGAAATGTAATAAAAACAATTTAATTACTATATATGCAATGAATTTTATCCACAGTATGGTAGCGGATATTTATCTGGCCATAGAGGCTTTTCCAATTCTGGCAGGAGCTCGTTGGCACCTCCAACGTTACCATATATACCACCGCCAACGTCTCCGCCACCCGATTATCCTGGCTTAGAATATCCGCCGGTATTTGAACCCGGTACTTACTCTCTTTCGGATGCATCATTGCTACGCAATCGCAATAAAAATAGTCAAGACACAACCTAATAACAAGAAACGAGCCAAATTCATCTCTTTAACAACCAAAGATAAGAATTTCTTTCAATTTATCGATTGACAGGTGTTCTAATATAGAAGTACAGTTCAATTTCACATAGAGATACAGTTAACTTTATTATACATATCGTATATACTATAATTAAAGTTAAAATATTCTCTGCCATTATTAAGTATTTTAAAATAACCGTCCATTGTCTGATTCCACAAATATAACAAGCATATTCATAATTATCGAAATTATAGAGAACTTATTTTTCTTCAAAGTATAAATCCTAAAAATGAAATATTTTGCAAATAGCTAAACCGATGTCGCAACATGGAGAAGACTGAATTAAATATTATCTAACATTACCTGTTAGATATTGTAAATTATCAAATTTTTTATCTATTTCGAAGTTGACTCAATTTTTGCGTTATTAATATTATAATTGTTAAAAAATTGAATTGTATATTAAAAAAAATTGAATTGTATATAATTGAATTGTAAAATAATTTATTATAACTTTTGAAACAATTTATAAATTTATTGTATGCAAATTTTACATGTGTATACTCGTAATGTTTAATATGCTTATATAATTAACAACTTTTATTATGTACATATTATGTGTATCATATAATAACAATATCTTTATTAATAATGAATAATTTTCATCTATAATTTTTTTAATTATATTTAAACGATTAAATATAACATAATAATCGCTACTATGGAAAGATATTCACATTTTTTTCATAAATCTTTTATAATTTATTTGTGTTAGATTGTTGCAAATAAAATGATCGAGTTATTAGCAAAATTTCCAATGTGTGTAACTACGATTTTGTTAAAAATAATATTTATTTTAATGCGAACATAATTCATATTTTTAAAAAATCAATATTTTTGGAAATAATTAACTATTTAAGGATACATTTTTACTGCTTTATTGTTAAATATTCTTCGCTAAAAAATAATTATGATTTCTTATACTTTTTTATTGCAATTCTGCATAATTTTTGTGCATTAACGGTTTCATTTAATTTTAAAAGATTTATATTTTCTTTTTTTATTCTAGAGTTGATTTAAACATTTTCTATAAAATTTTACTGATATGAAAGACAAGATATGTAGAATCCATTTTCATTACATGTTATAATTTTATATAGAAACAGATTTTTTCATTTCGACCGACATTTTAATATGCAATATAACAATATATTTATAAGCAAATGTACAAATAATATTGTATTTTTTATAAATATTAATATAAAAAGAAATGTATATATAAGTATTTTTTTTATATGTATAGTTTATTTTTTAACTCTATTAATTTAATATAACTTTTGCTCTTTTAACAATTTACAATAGAAATCATATATTTTGTATATACTTGTAAATGAGATTTCTCTCTTTTGATACATAGTCAATTAATATAGAATATAAAATGTACTGGGCTGCACTAGGTATAAAGTGTTAGTGAAGTTATATGTACTAAGGCTTTTAACTGTAATCTTGTTTAAATAATTTTATATTGTTCTCAATAAGACAAAAATTATAAACTATTGAGATATATTATAATTTAATCTGATATTATTGCAAAATTTCATGATAAATATCTTTTAATATGCTACAACTTTTTATATAGAATACTTGATATATAGGAATTAAAATGTTTTTTAAATCATTTTGTATCATTATTTTCTTCACATATTAGCAATATATTTAATATAGACATATGGATAATATCTTTTCAACTTATTATAGTTCTTATAAATAATTACAAAATAGTATATCTTTTTTAAAAATATTTCTTATTCAGATTTTTGAAAAAAAATATATAATGTCTAATTTTAAATATATTAATATATGTTATAAAAAAGACACAAATGTGTGTTAGTGTAAAGTGCCTGCGGTATTTTTTCTAAATATATGGATTATCTGAATAAGATAAAAATAACATATTTTTAAGATTAGATATGTATACTTTGTGTTTACAATACATATATAGCATAGTTTATAACGCTTTTCTATATCTTTTTATGGATTGTTATTCAACATATTGTTATTATATTAATTATAATTTATGCTCAACATAAATCTTCCTGGAGAAACAGTAGCATAAAAATAAAAATACTAAGTCTACAAAAATATAGAGCATGTGAAAGAGAAAGAGGAGGGTTTTATTATATACTTAAGCGAGATTTTGTTCTCTCATATTTAATTTACATATATATTTTATACTGAAAGTAAGCATTGTACAAACTATTTCTTTTATGATAAAAATATAAATATTATAATATAGAATACATAAACGATATTACACAGAAATACAAACTCTCTCCTCTCCCTCTAAGATATATGTATTTGGCATAAAATAAATTATAAAATTTATTAAAATGGATTATATCTCTTTTTTTTAGTCTTATAATATGAAAGTATATTATGAATATTTATAATTAGTGACGTTTTGTGAATAAGGATTTTTTACTTATATCTGTACGTACATATGTATATATATCTGATTAAGAATAACACGTATTTATAAATACCGCCTTATGCCTATGGTTCACATCTTGAACACAAGAGCTCGTTGGTTCACGCTTGTCATTGTGCACAGCTGATTTGATGAAATATAGCAAATAAACGCAGGTTGTTTCTCTGAAACTGAATAAATTTTTTTAATAAAAATTTCATTTTGCGTCTTCTTTTATTTATAATGTAAAGAAAAGACTTTTTCTGTACAACTTATTAAAACTCTGACTGATGATATATTGCATTTAAATACTGTCTACGTTAATCATGGTCATGCAGACATGGTTTTCACGTTACACTTGTAATTCTGTTTACGCATGTTCTTTTTCTATTTATCGATATTCTACGAAGTATATCTAAAGAAAAACTTTATAAATTGGGTTATTTCGCATTCAATTTTCGATAATATCCAATTCGGTTTATAATGTAAGTATTACATCATGCAAAGTGTGTGTATCTGGTGTGTATGCTATATTCTAGCCTCAAATTAATTCAATCAATATTTTCAAACAATATCATAATATATATTTCGTGTACCTATTTTTTTACAAATTATTGCTTTATAGAAAAGTATCGTTTTTTACATTCTAGCTTCTCAATTTCTTTGATACATATTTTAGATATATGAAATATATTTAATATATATCATATGTTATATATTACATAATATATATTTAATTTTATATTTATAATTTACAGGCACTTCACAGAATAATGAAAGCTTTTATATATCCATTTAAAAGACTTTTATTTCTGGGATAAGTTGCTCTTCCAATGCAATATAATGAATAATCTAGCTGGGCAGTTTCGCAAGACAACATGGGATCCAATTCTTATAATTTCCCAGATAATTGCTGTGCAGACTGTTATGTATTTCTGTCTCGGGTTCTGGATTTGGATCGTTGCGTCAATACTAGGTTCGACAAAATCATTGGATTACATCTTTCAGTACAAGGAGATACATGTTCGTGACTTTGGAGGACAATTGATTATTGTTATATTTCTTCTAAACGCGTTGGTGGGTGCATTTGCATTATGGTGGTTGGTGCAAAGAACAAAATTGTGCATGGATTTTGCATGTACGGCCCATTTTATTCATCTGATTTGTTGCTGGGTGTACAATGGAACTTATCCAACATCCTTCAGCTGGTGGTGTTTAAATCTCGTGTCGTTAAGTATAATGTGTGTTTGCGGAGAATTTCTTTGTATGAGAACAGAATTGCAAGCAATACCCTTAAGTATGAACAGTCAGAAGACAGCCTTATAAAACAAACATATATAGAATTTATGAGATAAAAATAAAGCATATAAATAAAATTTTTTCAGTAAATTCATATATTGTTTATACTATGCAATTAAAATTTCTATTGTTGAGATCATTATTTTAATTCCTAATGTGTTTAAAGATTGTTTTTCACAAATAAGTATAAGTTTCTATTAACTTTTTAATAGATTTATATTTTTTACTAATTATTTATATTTATGTACAATTAATTTATATATAATAAATTATTAAACAATATTTTTCAAACTATATTTAATAAATACAGATGTAAATCACAATCTTGATATCTTATAAAAATTTTTTATTAATCATTAATATCTTGTTTAAATATACAAGTATAGATATACAAGTATGTTAACTACATATGTAAGTATACCATATTGCCTGATAACAGTGTTAAATATATATATATATATATAATATAGTTGAGACATATAATTAAATTGCATTGCATAAATTATAATTTTATTTTATTTCAGCACAATACATGCACATTGCATTCTAAAATATATACATAACTTTTGATAATATAACTATTTATACATAGTGATCACACCTAATGATGATCCTCTTTATAAAAACGTAAACCACAATAACCACAGATATGATTGCCTGGTTTATCCTAGAAAAAGAATAAGATACATATAATCTCTTTTAAAAATAAGAATAAATTTTAAAGTCCATATTCTGAATCTTTTTTTATCGATAAAAGAGGCTTATAAGCTTTCTGATTAGCTACAAGCCACTTTTATCGATAAAAGAGGATTCAGAATATGGACCTATGTGTAATCTATTTTCATACTATTATTTGACTTAAATTTTTTTCAATTCTAAATACCAATTAATGGATATTTGAATAAAAAATTGTATATTTGCATTGATGCATATTTTACCAGATTTATATACACTTTAGGATGTCCAAGTGGGCCTCCACCACCATCGCAAGCTACTATTCTTTCTTTTTCAGGAGATGGTGGTATTTCGTCTATCAAATTAATCCCCCAATTTTTATTAACTTCTTTTGGTCTGTCCATGAATCTTACTAATCGATAATCATCTTTTTCAAACACCTGATAAAGTATGATGTAATTTGGTAAAAAAAATAGTTTTTAAACTCTTTCTTTAAACAAATCAATAATGAGTGAATGAGGGATCGCTCACCTGACCCGTGTGAGTGACTTGAGTGTCACCTTCATCCACGGTTGCGTACATACGTTGCGTTATTGTATTTAACGCGGATGCATCTCTTTTGTACAACTTGCTAAAAGGGATACATAATCCGCTCACCCTTTTGGTCGCCATACTTGACGATTGTTGACGATTGACCATCCATAGATATATACAATTCATAGATGTGAAGCTAAAGTTGCATTTGTTTGATGCTGCATAAATATTGAAAATATTTCATTGACCAATCGAGGCAAAGATTCCTTTATTCTGATTGGTCAATCAAACTTTTGCAGTAGTTGTATGTCATATGAACGCAGCCTAAAATTTGCTATAAGAAGGGATACAGCGAATTTTATTGTGTGCTTCGCGGGTAATTCTAACACGGTTCTACACGAGAGATTTGTTCTTTATACATAGCAAAATTTTTTGTTTTTCCTCTTTTTTCCTCCAAAACTTCTAAATATGTATCTATCTCATTTTTAATGTACATTAATAACAATTTAAGTACAAATATATATATGTAGAACACGTTACCCACACAAGCGCAAATACATGCAAATCGAAATGTTTCAATAAATTTTCCTTATGTTATAAATTCTAAATCTTCTTTCTCTCTTGTTTTATATAAAATATTTGATATATGTATATATCTTATATATTTAATATAATTAGTAATTTTCATATGTGTACAAAACAATTATGTATATATATATATATATATATATATATATATATATATATATATATATATAATTTTCCCTTAACTCCAATCTGTAATTCAGCATTGAAAATTCACTATGACTAATCAATAACCGTTCAATCTTATATTAAAATTTTCTAAAAACAATTAAATAAATTGAAATGTACAGTATACATATATTTAGATATATATAGTTGAATTAAGTTTAATGATCAATATATAGTGAAAATTAAATAAATCGCCTATTTTATTTTTACTTATCATTAATAGTTGTAGTATGTGCAGATTTCACATTCAGAGTAACAAAATTTACAGGATCTTCTAACAAACATATATTAACACCATTGTAGAAAATCATTACATTTTCCTAAAGAATATATTTATAAGAACCTATTCTTTCTTTCTGACCACTATAATACTCAGCACTATAACAATCTCTGTAATAATTTTTTATAAAAATTTTTATAAATATAATACGTAACAGCAAAATAAAAATATAAATAGGCTTCTCAACTGATAGAGAAGCATTATTATTTTTATTCAATGCATTAGTATTTTAATAAACTTTTGATAAATTTCAGTAGTTGTAATGGAACTTAAAAAATTTTCTGAACAGAATTATAATTATTCTAAAATCAGTTAGCCATCAAAAGATGATTCATCACTACTATCACTAAAAGATAATTCACCTTCTATTATATAATTGATATCAAATATGGGATCTACTAAAAAAGTGAACTCAGATCTTGTGACATAAAAGTGAATTCTTTTTAAATTCTCTGTGTTATCTGGGATGCTATAAACACTTAGAATAAATATTTGCATCAATCTGATTCAATTGCGTGTCGTAACATTTTAAAGAAAAAAAACAAGGACCTTCTCTGAAGGAACTTGTGTGTGTAATAAACGAATCATAAATAAGATTTCGCGTGCTAGATCTTTCGTTTCTTTTCATATATATATATATATATATATATATATATATATATATATATATATAAAGAATTATCGCATTAAATATGTCCTCCCAAGTTTTTATCAGATATGTAAAATTTTTCGCAGAAAAACACATGATTCATGCTTGATGTACAGAAGTGATATTAGGGTCATAAGAGAATGATTTAGAGTGCGATACGCACAGAAATCTCAATAAAAATACCGACTTTCTCTCTCTCACGATATATCAATGTGGAATAAATAGATAAATAGCTGTCCTTTTCAGTGCCGGATTTAATTTTGATGTGATTCTAAATTGTATATACATATATATATATATATATATATATATATATATATATATAAATTTCTCCGACTAAGATGTAAATAATAAATATAAAAAATATTTAAAATTAAAAATCATTAAAATGATTTTTCATTTACTTATAAGATTTTGAAGTTGTTGAAAATAATCGATTGATGATTAACAATATAATAGTCGAAATTATATCATATAAAAAATTATCACGCTTCGATTGCTAATGATCGTTATATACATTTTACCCGAAGAACTTTTTTTATAAAATAATACACTTACAAAGTTTGCTATATAAAAAAAGCTTCTAAATTTTTATATGTAAATTTGGAAGAATGCTTCTTTATTCCTTCCATTTTCGCTGACTATATTTTTTGTGCACATGCAAACAAATTGATAGGAAAACTTTTCGAATCATACGCAAGACGCATTCTTTATCCTATTATTCAAGGTCGCTCGATGATCCCTTGTAGATGCTCATATATGGACGCAGGCGCACAGAAACGCTTTTCTGGGGGTGAGTTACAAGGTGAAAGAGAGTGTACGTATGTATATATGTAGCTGTGGACGATCGTGAAGTAGACGTGACGAATTGCTTTCTGAAACTATTGACACGATGTCCTTATTGTGATTTATCGGAGGAATAGCCTTCGCTTATTAGCCTTTCGTTCCAGGTGAATGAGAAAATAATGTAACGTTGCAGGGACGACCTGGGGTAAGTATCGACGTACATTTATTTTGCTCTTCCGTATGTTGGACTGATAATTTCTTGCGTTACATTTCCATTGCAAAGCGTTCGTGTATTTCGTTTTTACAATAGCACCTATATAATAAAAATATTTTAATAAAGCAATGAATGTCTTGTAAATAATTTCTTTTCATATATATTCAGTTGTCTCGATCTCGTCTGAATTAATAAGTTACAAATAAATAGTTCGAAATTAAATAACTTAAATAATTAAATCTTTTTATAAATTATAACTTTATATTAAAAAGAGATGTAAAAGAGAAATATATATATATATATATATATATGATACGCAAAGCAAACTAGTCAACAATATTGCTGTGATTAATCTTCGGCGAGATCGAATGACAGCTGTTTGAGAGGCACAATATGTCGCGACACATAAATTGTGATTGATCGCTCGTTGACGGAAAATTTAAACGTAACGCTGCAGATACAGGGTCATAATTAAGATGGATGTTCATGGTGCTGGAGTTGTCGCCGTTTTGGGCACAGTTGGAGCTGCTACCGGAGCAATTTCGGCAGTGATTGTCTACACTATTTGTGCGCGTCGCCGACGATTGCTTACTTCGGTCGGAGGACCACTTAATTGGCATGTATCTATATTTTTTAGATATGCGTTCATTCATTATGTTTGGATAAAACACGATTAATCACTTTAAGTTGTTCTGAAACATGATAATATTGCTTGGTAAAGTCTAAAAAATATAATTTATAATGTAAATATAAAATAAAGAGTCAAATAATATAATAATGTGGTTCTTTTATAGGTTTGAAAAGGATTTACTGGACAGAGCGGAGGAGGCAGCCAGATCGTCAAAGGATGTTTTGGTTGGTGTCGCGCTTTCGCGGGATAATAAAATTAGACGTAGCGATAGTCACTCTGATGACGACGAATGGCAATCCGATCATGTATTTGACAGCATTGCCAGTGATTCTCCTAGAAGAAGTAGGTGCACTGGTGTCCCGAAAATTCTATTAAAAATAGAATGATTATCAGATTATCAAAAAAAAAACAAACCGCGATACTATTATTAAGAAAAAAGAACTATTTCATATAACTTTATAAAACTATTCCTGTAAAACTTTTATGATATATGCAATGGCATTGAAAAAGTTATAACAAAAATATGAAGTATGTAATATAGATAATAAAATAGATACAAGTAGATATACAATGCATAGGCAACATATATTCTCGGAACATTTCATTTAAAATCGGAACATTGGATCAAAAGAATTACACGACGCTGCTTTATCCCTTCTTCATTATAGACATATTCTTATCTGGATTTTCTCTTTGTAGTTATGCAACACCTCTCGGAATCGGATGATATCCCTCCGTCTCCGATGAGTCCGCTCGCGCCACCTCTTCCAGAAGGTGCAGTGGTTGCATCAGAGAAGCGCATGGTGATCGTCAGACCACCACCGCGAAGTATAGATGGATCTCAATCCCGATTAAATAGTGTCGAAATCGTCGAGTCAACTCGACGACACAAGGTATATATATCGTATAGTTTTATTATACTACATTTAATTATTGCTGATCCATCAATATATAATTAACGTATCTAATCATATATATAATTATATCATACGTATATTTCTATAGCTCTCCTCATCCTCTTCGACCTCATCGTCCGACGAAATCAGAGGTGAATTAAAATTGGGATTGATCTACGATGCTACCGCTGGAATACTTACTGTGAGACTTATCGAGGTAATATTTCTATCTGTCGCATGTATGATGTATATATTTGCCGTTACGCCGTTATAATATATAAATTATACGTAATCATTTTTTTCTTTAAAGGCACACGATCTTCGTGCCCGGGAATTGAGCGGGATCGCGGACCCTTATGCTAAAATACGTCTGCTGCCTGATCGAAGCAACGTATGGCAAACTACGATACACAGGCGTACTCTGAATCCCGGTAAATATTTACCTAATTTTCACAAAATTATCATGAAGGAGAAGAAAACTCATTCAAGAAAGATATTATAAAAAGATACCTCTTGTACATCTAATTTCGTTCTCTAGTATTCGACGAGGACTTTGTCTTCGAAATAACACCTCCATCGTCATTATCCGGGAGGACGTTAGAAATCTTGCTCTATGATTTCGATGCGTTCACACGACACCGAGGTTTGGGTTACGTGCAACTTCCTCTATGCTCCGTGCCGGATCTTGGTGCAAACTTGATCACGATCACAAAACCAGTTCTACGATACGGGGTGGAGGGCGGTTTTAAAGCACCACCTCTAGGAGAACTAATGGTTTCCATCTCATATCAGCTGTCTCTAGAGAAACTAACAATTATTGTCGTAAGGGCGAGAAATTTACCCGTTCTCGACGATCCCGCAAACGCAAATTCATATGTAAAGGTATGTAACATACGTATGAATAAACTTTCCTTGAATCTTTTTGCTCTTGTTGCTAATTGCTCTGTATTTAGGTATCACTCATGCAGGATGGTAAGAGTCTTAAGAAGAAAAAATCGGGTATACAGCGTGAGACCACCAGTCCCGTATGGAACGATATCCTTAACTTTGACATCAGTAGCGATGTGTTGTCGAAGTGTGTCTTACAATTCTCCGTATTGCGAGCCAATGGTGATCTCTTGGCCAAATGCGAGGTATCCGGTTCGTGCCAAAAAGAATTGTTTCAGCGTGTATTATCCGGCAAAGGTGCGTCAGCGCAATGGTTACCCTTGTCGGAACCAGAAGCACAGCACAGCGATAACGGCGAATTGAAAGATTAAGAAGAAAGTCGTTAAAATATAATTAAAATCTATGAAAATGCATCGTATATCATATTAATTGTTTTCAAATGTATAATGAAACGCTTTCGCGAAAGCGTTCCATCTCTCCTATTCTTGAATTGGATAAACAAAGCGGTTCAATATTAGCCAAGTAAACGCCGACTCCAATATAATACCTTTAGAAAATGATGCAAATTGATGCGCTGGCGCCGTATAATTAGTCATGACTTGTGTATTATTATTAATATAATATAGTATTCTAAACTTTTCTGATAATCATATTTTCAGAATATATATATATATATATATATATATATATATATATATATATATATATATATATAATTTTGCATTGACGCACCCTAAAAACATTGCAAGTTTCGTAACATGGCTTCCGGCTGTATATAACGATTACTTTTATTGACGTTTATTACTATATTATTAGTAAATTGGCAAAGTCTGTCAAGTGCGACAGGTATAGTCATACTATTGCGATATTTACTTCCGCTTACGCTGAATTTTATCTGTATTATATGATTGATTGTTAGCTGAGATATTATAAACTTACAACCGATATCGCATCAATTCGGAATATCAAACGCATATTCAATATGTTTTGCACGCTCTTATCGATAACTATACTGTGTGCATATTTTATACATATATTTTTTGTATCGTTCTTGAAGAAAATGATAATAGGGAATTTGATGTACATCTAGATTTTTGTGTACATCAAAAATTTTATGACGACCATTTCCGTTCCATATACACCAACTGATTAATGATAAAACGACGAGGTGTTATTCATCAATCGTCCTACATAGCAAAAAAAGTACAAGTATGTAATCAAGTGAAATTATTATATGATAAATTGTAATAATCGCACAAGTTGATTCTATGCATAAAGCGATACATTTAAAGTTGTTTTCATTTTGTTACACGAAACAAATGAAGATTATTACACAGAAAAAGAAAAAAATGAATCCATTGATGAAAGCAGGTTCTTTCCTTGATGGAATAACTGTTATCAAGATTTCCTCATTACCATATCGAATTATACAACAGTAAGAACAGTAGAAACGAAAATCTCAAAATTCCTTTTTTTTGCAAAATATGTTGAAATAAATTAATTTTCTCACATATTCGCGTTTTATAGGATTTACTGCATTATAAGATACATTTTGAAAAATATACTGAAAGTTTTTTTTTTACTTGATGTTAGCAAATGTACATATAATTCAATCCACGTACATCTTATATTTCCAACAAAAATAATTTTTATGTGTTACAAGACTTACAATTATTTATTATAATTCAAGAAGAAAAATATTTGATTTTACCAATTTATATTATCAAACGCGAGTAATGGAAAAAACTAGCTCAACTATTTCAACATATATTGTAAGAAAATATTTCATGATTTCTCATTTCTCATGTTATAATCCAATATGATTGTAAAAGAACTAGATTTAAACATTGCATAAAGTGAGATTGGTTAAATTTATTAAAATAATGTTAATCAACATACCAAAGACAAAACATAATAATATGATTAGAATTGTAGTTCACTTGTTGATAGTATACAAAACAAATAAAGACATTCGGATGTACATGTGTGTATAGCAAAACAGAGATAGAAAATAATATATTTTCATTCTATATACGATTATCAAACATGTCTGTGCATGTTTCATCGATATTCGTGATAGAAAGAGAGAGAGAGAAAAAGAGAAAAATCATACAATAGAACAGATTATTAAAAAAATTGAAAAAAAAAAAAAGGTATAATCCTCAATGTTTGTGATCGCTTTTCTATGGTTAAAAAGAAAGTATATACCTCTTGTCGAATTGTTTCATTGTTTATTGTACAATGTAACTGTACATATATAAAAGGAATGGACCAATGCGATCCTTAAGCTTAGTCGAATAAACCTGTAACCAAAAAATAGTGTAATTAGAATAGAAATTAATTATATTTTATTGATTAAGATAATTTGATTCATTGTATTCTCATTTTGAAATATTGTCGTCATATGTATATTCCGTAGCTAATACATGCTATATTAATCATTGAACGTTTTTTTATATCTGCATTTCTTTTTTTTATCTTTGTGATGACATTAAATATTATAAATTTGATATTACTTACCAAAGCCCATGTCATCGTCCGACTCTTCTTCTGGTTCCTCCTTCTTCTTTTCCTCTTTGGCTGGAGCAGCCTCAGTGCTGGCAGGTGCTGCAGCAGCAGGAGCTATAAAAATTCAAAATGCTAATATTATTTTTTAATACAAAATTATTGATGACACTTGAAAAAATATTTTCTAAAATTTTCATAAAACAGCTGAGATTATATTAAAAATAAATATTTTTATATAATGTTACTAACAAAAACTTGATGGTTATATCTCTATGGATAAAACCAAAAAGAGTCTTTATTTTTATTTTCTTTTTCCTCTTTTGCTGACCGAGCTAGTTATTTAAATAGACTAGATCAGTGGATGAAGAGGATAAAAAGTTAGCAATTTCTTTTTTAATTTTTTCAATTTAAATAACATTCTTCCAAGTTTATCTTATATAAATATAATTACCATGTGATTCAAAATATATCTAAATATCTATTTAATTCTGCTATATTTTGCAAATAAATTATAAAAGAAACAATTAAGATTTATTCAATATGATTGTGAACAGTTTGCTAATAAAAAAATATATATACATACCACCTGCTCCTGCAGGTGCAGCTCCAACACCAGATCCAATATTGGTAATCAATTCCTTAACATTTATGCCTTCTAAAGCCTTGGCAAAAAGCCCGGGCCAATAAGAATCGACATTTACATTTGCTGCTTTCAGAATTGTTTGTATTTTCTCGCCCTATGGATTAAAAATATAACTAATTCACAATAATACAATATATTTATATCCCTATTTTTCATTTAACATTTGTTTTTCACATAGATTTTTTCACAATAGAAGTTGTAACAGACAAGTGTTTATCTACACAATATTTTTATATATAATAACTATTTCATGTTAATTAAATTGATCTAAATTTATTTATTAATCTTCATTAATACTCCCTAATATTATTCTTTCTTAATATTATTTTTCCCTAATTTTATTAATTACCAATAAATATATACTCGCAATAAAATAATATATTATAGTTATATAGTTATTATATAAACAAAATTATATTTCTCTGCTGTAAACATTGACAGAAAAATGCGTTTTGTATGAATATATTCTAACTAAAATATGTTACTCTAGACAATATATAATAGAGAATTCATAGAACATACCATGCTATATTTGGGATTTAAGAGAGAGGTTAACAATGTAATTTTGAATAGAAAAACTTTAATGGAAATACATACACAAAGTATAGATAATGCATATGCAATATTTAACGAATAAATATCAAGAATGTGATGCATCTATCGATGAGATCGATAAAAATAATAAAATCGCGGTATGAATCCACGTGATACGATACTTACGGTTACAGCGATATCGTCGTCGACGAGTATCAAAGCGGAGTAAACGCAAGCGAGCTCGGCTTCGGTCGTCATTTTTTATGTTTAAATTTTGTCTCTGAGAATCAGATGGAACTTAAAAATTGGTGCAAGTTGTCGATTCTTTACGACCTTAGCTCCTCGAGAGAGAACAAGCACCCAAGCTCCCCAATTCAAACGGAAGAGACCGAAGAGAGTGGACTGGAAAATATCTTCTACAGCGGATATCACGTGATATATAGGCGCTGCGCTAAACTTGATGCGCATGCGGAATCGCACCCGATTGACCACGTCGCCAATTGGCCAGTTCAAAATAGGATTCTCTGATTGGTCAATCGTTGCAGGTCCCCTAGGTACCCTAGGTCGATATAATTGGTTGTAGTCAATCGCAACATGGTCAAATGGGATGCTACTGCGCATGCGCATGTTATTCAAAATATGAAACGTTAGAATATGAAAAAATTTCAGTGATATGTTAACTCAAATATATATATATATATATATATATATATATATATATATATATATTTTATTTAAATAAAACTAAACATTTTTATTAAAAAACAATTTTGCAAAATTTATCACTTATTATTTTTAATATCAAATATCTTGAGAGAAATTAAAATTCTATTGCAAAAATTATTTTAACAAAATTATAAAATAAAATTTTGTTGTTTTCTTTTGTATTTTCTACGCTTAAAACCTAAAAGAAAAAGACATCTTCATTTCCAATCATAAACTTTTGTCCCAAATAAAGCCAAATAGCTTGTCCTTAAATTTTTTGTATTAGTTAGACATAATTCTATATAAAGAATTAATATAATATATAATAGAGAGATATATGCATAAAATTAATTTCTCTTTTTATCTCTTCAATTTTATTATTAATAAAACATTATTTTAATAGTTGGCGTTTATACATATGTTACTCTTGTATTTATCACTATCAATCATATATTGATTATAATGAATATAAGTTTTATATATATATATATATATATATATATATATATATATATTAATTAATTATAATTATAACATATATTAGACTATTATTTCATTAATATGTGCATGTTTTACTTTTATAATGGAAAAATTTTATAAATCGTGATAAAAAAATGCACATTCTTTATATTTGTCACAAATAATAGCTTTGGTATATTTTATTTTTGCAAATATACATTATCACATACTTGTACATTCTATATTATATAGATTATTTTACAAATTGTTATATTATTATATTATAAATATCTATATAATTAAGAGAAAAATATAATAAACATCATCTTGTATTAGAAATAAATATTCTCAAATAAATAAATAATTTTTGATTAAGAAGACAAAATTTGGTAACAAATCATTTCTTCACTAATATATTTTGAAAAAGATATAAAGATAATAAAACTGTTAAAAACTGTTATTTTACATATGCAAATTATATCGTTAAAAATAATTATATTTTATCCTAGTGTAAAACAAATAACAATGCAATAATATTAAATACAGTTGTTGCACTTAGTGATATTGTAATACGTAGCGAAAAATTAATGAATTCTATATTTACCACAATCGTGAGAAATATATGCATACAAGAATACATCGTTCACGTGACATGATATATAACAATTGGAATTAAATTAAGAGAGTTTGTATACATTGTCAATTGTTATATAAAAAAATTACCTTATTTAACTTGTAAAATTCTTTAAAAGCTCAGTAATATAAATATCGCTATGTATTATCGGTTGATTCTGATGGAAAACTCGATGTATCGATAAGGAGTTCTTCGTTTGTATTGCGCTGCTTCTCTTCCGATTCATACTCTTCGATATCTTCGCTCGAATCCGTCAACGTTTGCGGCCCAGTAGATTTATATTGAAACGCGGAATGCGATAGATCAACTTCGACCGGGAATAGCGTCACCGCTGACAGTAGATCTCGCGTACTAGCGTAATACTTGGCCAGACCGGCCGCGAACTTGTGCAGTTGCCATACGACGTCCTGAACATGCTTATTGTCTAGCAACTCTAATTTTACTAACACGTCCGAACGCAGCTTCGCGAACCTCGCGCGAGCTTCTTGTCGACAACGCAATACTAATCGATACTCATAATTGCCCGTTTCCACGCGATAGAGAGGTTCTTGAAGAGCAGCGCAGCTCTGCTCTTCGTCGTCCAGTTCCTTTACTTTCAGACAGTAGGACAGATATTCAAATTTCGCGTCCGCATATTTGCTGATGGTCAACCGTGTATCTGGTATAGCCTTGTTGAGATATGTTCCCAGATCGTTCAATATAGGTTTCAAGGTCTTCAACATTGTCACACCAAACTTTTCCATTTGCCTATGTTGTTCACCAAATTGTCTAAAAGCTTCACTGGCGCGTGGCTGCGGTTCTCGCACTCCTATAGCAGCGAACGCGTCTCCAAATACTAAAAGATATACAACAGAAATTGAGCATATAATTTTACATGTACTACTTTCGATATTTAATTGAAAAAATCTTTAATTGAAAAATACCTTTGTAAATCTGTGTCAGATCGAAAAAAGCGTGTAACGTAGCTTTGGCGTGCGTAACTAGACCTCTATAGAAATTCTCTGTACGTTTCAACGCCATCAATCTTTGGACGAGGGCATCGTTGCAGAGAATAGCTCGTGACAGTCCTAGCGCATCCGCCGTAGTACTACCCATACCTTCGACCAGTCTATGTTTCACCTATAAAATCGAAATTTAGTTGTGCTATTTCAACATGATAAAAAAGTTGACTGGTATCATATCCACTAATATATACTTGCTTTTTTAAGAGCGATGTCGAGCGTACGACCTTGTTTTGGATCGGCGTGTAACTTATTGTAATTGATGCTGACTTGCGAATCGCAAGATTGTATCATCTTTGCGACTTCTACTTTAGTTTTGCCTTTCACTGACGCCCCGTTCACCGCCACAAGCTCATCGCCTGCTTGAAGAGTACCGTCTAAAGCGACAGGCGTATTGTCAAAGATTTGTACAATGTACAGACACGGACATAGCGGTGCACCACCGCCGATGCTTATACCAATAAGATTACTGCTGTCTTTCTGTATTATGACATTCCCAGATGTAATTGTCATACCCCTGATAATAAGAAAAAAAAAGGTACAATAAATACAAGTATAATAAATTTAATACAATTTTTTAATAAATATATATTTATATAAATAGCTGAATTTCTTAAATTACAAAATGCAAATGTGCAGCTAAATTTTACAAAGCTTGCAAAATGCGCAATAAAGAAAGATATAAAAAAATTAAATATAAATGTATATTTAACAAATAAAAATCTATACATATATCTATACATATATAGCATAAAATCTCTTGTTTTTTTCTCTGTTTTTACATCATAATATAATCATCTACACAAAAATTACACATATAATCATAATTACTATATATATAATAAATTAAAATTAAACATGATCAAAATTGCATTAAGAAATAAAATATAAGAACAAGTTTCTCAACTTACTCATAGAAAATATTAAAAAAAAATTTTTTTCTTTTAAGTATTTCAATAAGAACAACAAGAAAAATAGAATTGCTAAGAACAGCTAAACAATTATAAGTTTTTCATATCATAAATATAAAAGTTATATTTTTCATCCAAGGAAAATCATATTAATACTATTTGAAACATTAACACTACTTGAAATTCTCTATATATATTAATGTTATATAATTTTAAATCTTGATAAAAACATTTTCAAGTTAGAAAAAGTAACTGCTTTTATGTATATTTATATATTCTATCAGTTTTCTATATTAAAAATATACTATTATCAACATTATATAATCATTTGATGTAAATATCTTTAATAAAATGCTAAAAAACTTACATTTGATTGACAGGTTTCTGCTGTATATATTGATCTTGTGCGACCAGTTCTATGTCTGGTCTAAATCCCAATATGATAAGCGACAATACAGAAGGAAAAAATTGAAATTTTGCAAGAGAAGAGATAAGTATGAAGCCAAATAAAGAAATATAAAATCAATATAAGAACAGTAACATAAGAATAGTGCATACATGCGATCTTCCATCATAGCTAATTGGTGCAATTCGATGTTAGCCGATGGTACGGTGGTAAGAACAATAAAAACTTTATTCAAAGTTGATCTGCTCGAATTTTCAAGTCTGCTGCTATTCGTGGACAAGGTCGAATCACTTGTCAAATTGTGATTCCACCGCACCGTGGCATCCAGACATGCATATTATAATCATTAAAGGAAGCACATTAAAATTGTAATGCAGCGTGACAAATTACAGCTAAGTAAAAATCAATTTTCCATAACCAACATTTTATCCTCCTCGAAGAAAAAATCGTCTTCGAAATCCATCCCCAGACCCGTCATAATTGCAGTCTGCAATATTTGCACTCGTTATTTATATCCAAGCTTCGTTCCCCTTGCAACTTTTATTTGATTTGTAATTGTTTAGTATAAATTCAGAACATAATTTGACAATAGTGTTAATTTTGTAGAAGTTACTATTGACATATCAGACAAGGCATAACAAGAATTAATGTCTTTACATTTAAACAGAAAAATTAAAGAGAGATGATTTAATATTTAAAGATATACAATAAATACACACAATATATACATGTATATATTATGAGAGATAAACACTGTATCTGTCAATTTCTGTCAGCCATCTACATGGCTACATAGAAACGTAAATATAATAAATATATAGATGGTACAAAATATGTTAGAATGAAAAATGCATACTGCGTTCAATGCCCGACAGCTGATATCCAATAGAAAATGCTCATTTTAATTAATGACATTTTTGTTGCTAGAAAACAAAGGCCAGTATTCATAGTTCGTTAAGATTCCGTTCAACCAAAGAAATAGCCATGTAATATTTTCAAATCTTGTTTAAACGATCTTAAATGTAAAGGAATCGGTATGAATATTGATTCTAGCACTTCAAAAAATCCAAATCAAATTATTATGCATTGAAGATGAAGATTGAAATTTGACCAATTAGAAAAAAGAAACTTTAACTCCTTGCGTTCTGATTCGTCAAACAATAATCTACAATCTCCAATGCACGGTCTCGGACATGGGGCTAAAGTAGTTTTCACTTGACGCTATTTTTCGGGTGGCACCCGATTGATCCACGTCGCCAATTGGCCAATTCAAAATAGGACTCTTTGATTGGTTAATAGTTGCTGGTTACCCTAGGCACAGGTCGATATAATTGGCTGTGGTCAATCGCAACGTGGTCAAACGGGACGCTCCCTATTTTTCAAAAGACACGTGACTAAAAATAAAGACAAATTCATCATTTTTTGATGTGATGTCTTCTGACCACCTTCTGACACTAGAAATGAGCGTCCAGTATCAAGTGAAAACCTACCTTGAGGATTTCTGTGTCGTCTTGCGTGCTCCATGACGATGCCGCGATGCTGCGTTGCGTTCGCGTTCCACGTTGACGAATTGACGACTACCCTGTTGACCCTCCACGTAGCCACGCGGCGCGATGCTGGTAATGGTAGCTGTCGCGTTATGCCGAGGCAACGTCGCGTTGTAGGACGAACGTCATCGTAGCGAGTGGATGTGAGATCAAATTAATCGGTATTCTTAACAGAAGGAACACCTGCCGAGTGGTGGATTAAAATGAGAGGACTTAGGATTTTTCTATTTCTCGCCATTTCGACGATTGCACTCGCAGTCAATGGAGGTAATTTACGCGATTTACAACTTATTCGCGCATTTCGTGGTTATGCGCACAGAGATCAATTAACGTTCGATAAGTAAGCGTTTGATTTTTTCTCGCGTATGTGACGGTTTAATTGGTAAAATAATATCGAACGAACGATTGTAACGGAGTCTTTCGAAAATTCCAGCTGTGTTATTATGCCAACTCTTTTCAGAAGTGTGCGATTTAAATATATAATTCTGTAAAATACTTTTATAAATGGGATATTTTTGTGATGAATTAGACAATTCAGATATATTCTATAATGGATTATACTTTACATTTCATCATAAATATAAATATATATTTTTATTTGTACAATATACTAATAAGAATGGAGCATCTGCTTAAATATAATAGACTATGTTTACATGTCATTCTTAATTGAGTTCAATAACATCCGTAGTTTTGAAGTTAGTCAATCACAGCTATTCCTTTAAAGAAGAGAATGACTATGATTAAATTTTAAAACTATAAATATATAAAACTATTATAAATATATTAAATTCAATTAAGGATGACTTATAAAGTCATTGATATATTTTACATAAAATCTAAAAGTTATTAACTAAAAATTACAATATATAAAAATATAATTACTATAATGATAGTTCTTTCTATAACATTCCTTCTGTCAAATCTCACATTAAAAAGTTCAACAAATTTTTATATTTAATATTTATAGGATATGGCGTTTATGCTGAAGAAGATGAGAATATTGACGATATTGTTGATGTAGAAGGTGAAGAAAGCAGTGTAATAACAGATGAAGAAACAGTAGAAGATACCAGTAATGCCTCAGCTGATGCTGATACAACAATACTTTTTACAAAACCTATTTACAACACTTTATCTACTCTTGGTATTTTAATTATATTTTTCATTTCTATTAAGATTATAATATATAGTATTTTATGATACTAAAATAGATTTTGAATTTTATAGAACTACCAGCTGGAAATATAGTAGAATTTCTTGTGGGTTTTATTAATAAAGGTGAAAGTGATTTTGTTTTGGAATCACTGGATGCCTCTTTCCGTTATGCAATGGACTTCAATTTTCATATTCAAAATTTCTCAACATTCACATTTAACAAGATTGTGAAACCAAACCACGAAGCTACTTTAGCTTACTCTTTCATACCATCTGAAAGTTTTGCTGGAAGACCATTTGGATTAAATGTTAATTTAAATTATAGAGATACGGTATGTATGAATTTATATAATGTTGTATATACATGAAAAAAGATTAGAATTTAAAAAAAAAGATATATAATATTAAGTTTTGTAGACATAAAAGTTTAATTTTTCATTTGTATAAAATATAACAAAATTATTACATTATTAAAATGAAAGAATTATTTCTGATTGACAGGATAATATTAATATTTTTATCTATAATAATTAATTATCCTGCATTCCTTTTATTAAGTACTGCATTTTAAATCTTAAAATTATATTTTTTTAGTTTATTTAAATATTAATATTTAAAAATATACTAAATATAAAATATAATTGTAAATTTATTATTTACAAATATTGATACATTATGCTTTTGCAGAATGGGATTTCATACAATGAAGCAGTCTTTAACGAAACTGTACAAATCGTAGAGATAGATGATGGTCTTGATGGAGAAACTATTTTCCTTTATGTATTCCTCGCAGCATGCATTATACTAGCCCTTGTAGGAGGTCAGCAGTTATTATCATCTTTGGGGCGCAAATCACGTTCTTCTACTTCTCGTAAAACGGCAGTAGAAATGGGCACATCTAATCCAAATAATGTAGATTATGATTGGCTGCCAAAAGAAGTTCTAAATAGAATCAGTAAGTAATGAATTAATAGTAAGCTAATTTATTATCAATTTGAATTAAAATCAGAATCAAACAGCTTTTTAGTGAAATTATTTCTGTGTAAATTTTTATCCATTATAAAGACAATTTTTTAGGATATAAGAAATTCTCAAATTTTACACTTTGCATTAATTTAATGATTTCAAATAATATTTTGAAAATTAATCGAATTAATATAATACAAGTTTAATATTACTTTTTATCTTTCCATATTATCAAATATCAAAAATGCATCAAATTAAAAATGTTATCAATTTGGACTATCATATAAATTCTTAATATATGATCAATTTTTTGATTGCTATACAAGTTACTATATAAGAAGTTAATGTATGTACAAGAATTTATAGAATATATATATTTAATTAAATTAATCATCTTTTTTTTTTTCTTTTTAGATAAATCTCCTAGAGCTCCAAAGCAAAGTCCAAGACAAAGAAAAGCAAAGAGAACAGCTGGTTCTGATGACTGAATATTATATATTAATATTTATATATGTATATTATTTAAAATTGATACGGAAAAATCTCTGCATTGTGCAAGATAATTGCAATAATTTTTTAAAAATAATTTAAAATTCCAAAATTCTAGTGAAACAAATTGTGAAATATTCAATTCTAATAATTAATATACAAAATGTATACATATGTAGTTTTTCAATGACTAATGTTCAATATTATGGAAAAAGTCATTTGATTGTAATATTTGCAAAACATTTATCTCTGTAATATATATGTAGGTACATCTATGTTTAATATTTCTATAGGCAATATAGTATAGTGATACTCAATTATTCTCAACTTGTTTTTGCACAAAATTCATATATAGTTGTGTTGTACTTAGCCAGATTTATATTTTCTACAAGATTAATTTCCCATTAATTTTTTGTATACAATACGATATTACTACAAATGTGTGCGCGTGATAAAAATAAAGTTCTAATCATTCTGTAATTATTGTAATGATATGCAAACATTTAATAAAACAAAAACCAATTTTGTATAAACAACTTTTATAAATCTATCTTCAAAACTTAACGCGTTTTTTCATTATATATGTATCGCATCGTATTAAAATTCGTTCTTATTTAACTATCTCATATTTGAAATGCAACACATGTATATATATTTGTGTGTGTGTTTTCTATTATCTGAATAAAGAATATTTAGAGAATTAACAAGATAAAACAATTCCTTTACTTATATTGTCAAAATATATATTATATATATTATCTTCATTTTTATTTTTGATTAAATTTTTTTAAATTAGTTAAATTTTGCTGAAAAGAAGTTCAAGAAAATGTTAAATGAGTTTAAGCTACATCGATATAAATATATAGAATTTTAAAATATATTTTTAAATTAACAGTGCCTTTCTAAATGCGGCCAATAAATATATGTATATATGTATGTGTCACAAATCCAAACAGAAGATCTGTTAAACATTTTTTTTAAGAAATAAAAATTTATAAATAAGAATATTATTAACTTTTACAAATAAGCATATTGTAAACGTTTTCAAATAAACGTTTTGTTAACATATTCTAAAAATTATTTTTTTTTTAACATTTTCGGTTTATCTAACAAAGTGAAAAGCTTTATAATCCCATCTTAGATGTAGCAAACTTAAGATAGAAACATCTTCATTTTATCTTAAATATTCTATCCTTATCTATATGTGATTTCGAATTTATCTAAAGAGAACATAGTAACTGTTATGTCTTGACTTTTCTGCAATGTATTTCCACTATAATCTGTATGCGCGTATGCCGTACGTACACGTAACCTAAGAAATTTGTCGTGAATCGCATATTTCGCACGGTGCGATTACACGTCATTACTCAGCTGACAGAGACTTGTGAGCAACAATCGTACCCTTAACGGCAAGGGCTGGCAAGGGCGACATTAGAAGACACGTTAAAATGTCAGACGTGACAAATTGGTTTAGTACCTTGCCGATTTTTACAAGATATTGGTTATTGTGTACCATAGTGTTTACACTACTTGGTCGGTTTGGATTTCTGAGTCCGCATTCGCTGATACTATGGCCCGATCGGTTCATTAATAATTTTGAAATCTGGCGAGCGGTGACCAGCGTCTTCTACTATCCACTCAGTCCTGCCACGGGTTTTCATTTCCTGATCAACTGTTATTTCTTGTACAATTATTCGTTGAGGTTAGAGCGTGGGGAATACGATGGAAAACCTGCTGATTATTGCTTCCTCCTGCTATTCAACTGGATATGTTGCGTTATCATCGGACTTATCGGTGATTTTTCTCTGCTCATGGATCCTATGGTGCTCAGTGTATTGTATGTATGGTGCCAACTCAATAAGGATGCAATCGTAAACTTCTGGTTCGGTAGGTCTGCTTTCCTCATCTTATTAGTTATTTATAAGCTGTGCAATATGATATCAATACAATTTCATAAGAATTCAGTCTTTAGAATGTATTTATGTAAATGAATCTGTTGACAGGCACACAATTCAAAGCCATGTATCTACCATGGGTCTTATTTGGCTTTAACTTGATCATTTCTGGCGGTGGAATGATGGAGCTGTTTGGCATTCTAGTTGGACATCTGTATGTCTTCTTGAAATTCAAGTATCCCCAAGAACTTGGTGGCCCAGAATTACTCAATACTCCAAAGATACTCGAAAGTTATTTTCCACCTCAAAGAAGTGGGATTCGATCATTTGGAAGTGCACCGACAAATAGGCCAGCTGAAGGACAAAATGCTCAAGGAAGAAATATATTTGGGGGACATAATTGGGGAAGAGGTCATGTATTGGGTCAATAGTTAGAAATTTTTTTCTCACAAAATCACTGAAAATACATGATAAAAATTTTCTATTTTAATATATATTCATTTTGCGACTTATAGTTAACATGCAAGAACAATACTGATTTCTTGATGTCTGTGTTACCGATTCTTCCAAGTATCTCTTTTTGTAAACTATTACATAACTTCAATAATTAAACTATAAAACGTATATATACTTTCTTAAGTAATTTAATAAATGAAATATACTATATTAACTATATAAATATAGAAAAGTTATGAAAAACATTTTTTTGTATTATTATGTAAAAAAACAAAATTAGAAAAATTTTAAATTTCAATATGAAAAATGTAAAAATATATTCACAACTTTATCATTTATATGTGAATATATCTTTAACAAATGAATATAACAAAATATAAGACCAGAAATAATTATAAATAATAAGTAATCTCATTTCTTTACAATACATTATATTTCTGTTCAATAAATAATTAACCATCAATTACACTTGATACTGAAATATGACTATCAGAGTTGTAAAATTTGTATATATTATTTTCTGTATATTTTCATATTTAGTAATAAATAGAAAAATATAGAATTAAAAAGATATTATTATCTATATAAAAGAGATCTATATAAGATATATTTATCTATATAAATTTTATGAAAAACGTCTTAATCAAATATAAAAAATTTATCTGTATTGCTTTTATTATTATAAAGTTTATCTTGAAAAACAGAAATAATAATAAAAATAAGTTATACTTTTTCTTAATATCTTGTTTGCTATAAATTTAGAAATATATCTGTAAGTTTTACTCTTGGAGGAACAAGTCATTACACATTCTTAATTTAATAATTATGTATATGTAAGGTATATATAATGTATGTTAAGTACTGTTTATAAAATAAATGAATATAGTATATTTAATATATATATATAGATATATAATATATATATATATATATATATATATATATATATATATATATATATATATATATAATTAATATCAATTAAAGAGAATGACACATTTTAACATTTTTTTTATAGTATTTTATTTCCGCGCCTTACAAAAGTCTGCAAAAAAAAGACATTTAACAATAAAAAAACACATTTCTATTATTAATGTGATTATTATATGATTTTTATTGAGGTTGTCTCCTCAGTGGCTAAAATGCTTCCTAGCATATAAGATTAATGCTAGAAAGTTGGATGGGATGCCAACCCCTACCAAGAGCCCAAAATTAACTTTTTTCATTATGATTTTATTACAAGTTAAAAAACTAAAATTCTATAGCATATGTTACATCATATAATTTCTGATCAACTACAACAAAGATGTTTAAGTGATACTCTACATGACAAATAAAAAAAGTGAATTAAGGACTCTATACCTACCAAAAATTATTCCTCAGGAACTTCCAGTTCTCCAGCATTGATGTCATCTATGAGATCATGAGGTGGCCTGCTTTCCACAGTGCATCCAACCGACTGACACGTGCCCAAGATCTCTTTGACAGTGCCACTAAGTGTTCGTGACATCGATCTTGATCTCATAGCACGGGCAATGGAAACTATGTCATCAAATGTCAAATTGCCACTATGCTTAATATTCTTCTGTCTCTTGCGATCTCTGGGTGGTTCTTTGAGTGCTTTAATTATTAGAGAAGCTGCAGATGGTACAACCGAAATTGTAGCTTGTCTATTTTGAATGGTCAACTGAACTGTGATTTTTAGACCTTTCCAATCACTGGTAGCTTTGGCAATATCATCACCAACTTTTTTAGGAGACTAAAATGTGAAATTAGTTATTTAGTTATAAAATAAATTACGGGATAAGTGAACCCTATACAAATTAAATTTTTTCCAAAAACTTACCAAACCAAGAGGACCAATTTTTGGAGCAAGGGACGAAGTGGCTCCTACTTCACCACCAACACATCGCAAATATACTGTACGAAAGACAAAATCAGTTAACAGTTAGCATTTTTATATCGGTTATAAAGGTTATAAAAATTTTAACCATGTGTATTCGCGAGAAAATATTTTGAAGAAAATACCTTTCTTGATTTCATTCGGGTCAAATTTAGGAGGCATGGTTACAGTTTTTGTTGAGGATTTCTATGAAAAATCAAGGATGAAATCCGATTACTATAAACTGCAAAACCAACGCACGTCTCCACGCGACAAGTTGCACACGAGAAAGAATAAATAGGCATGAAGTAACAGAAGAGAAGAAATGGTCGCATTCAGCAGACTCAACAGTTGGGCAACATTACTAGATTTCCGATGTAATCCGACTCTGATTGGTCGGATCTGAAAGTAGAAACCAATCGGATGGCACCTGATTGACACGTCGCCAATTCAAAATACGACTTTCTGATTGATCAATCGTTGCTGGTTACTCTACGACCAATGAAAATAGAGTAGCAAATGAACAAATTTCTGTGCAGAAACGTAAGCTCGCTAATCTTTGAAATTTCAAATTTAATTTAAATTTTTATATAATAATATTATATAATTTGCATATAATAAAATGTTTTTCGACATAAAATAATCATTTAAAAAATAAAATGCAGGATTTGTTCGATATATACATATATCAATACATATATATAACCGAATGATTGAATTCTATTTTCAGATCCGGCAAATCAGCATCGAATATTACAAGAACAATAGATCAATTGCAAAGTTTCAGAACAGCCATAAAATTAAATTTAATCCAGAATGTCTTAAAATATAAATCTAATGGTACATCAATGAAGTATATGTATATTATAATGTATATTTATGCATGCTAATCATACGGTAATCATGAAGAGGACGGCAAGAAATAAACTTTTCAATTATACAATTAAAAATATATAAAACTATATATTTTAAAAATATTACATGTAAAACATTGTTTTTTTTAATTTACAATTTTTTAAGATACTTACAAGCTCATTTGCTTATGATAATAACATTTATATTCATATATCTCCTCATTATAATTTTTATATTTATTTATATAATTTTTATATATCTATTTTTTATATCCACCAATTAAGATAAATTATACATATAATCTACATTGCACATATATTTTTTCAGTAAAATTATAAGCTAGGCCAATATTAAACATCACTGCTTTAAACATATGAAATATTGGACGAGAACCAATTTGTTCATTCAGCATTTAAGTATCAGACTGTTTAGGATTGATTAAGACATACTGGTAATTCTTGAGATGATACTTCTTCATATTCATAGTATTGCGCTGTTACATCTAATAGTTTTTCTGAATTCTCTTTTTTAACCTCTGCAGGATTAGATTTAAATGCAGAAATGTGCTCTGAATGTTTATTCGTTTCCTTACAAATATCTGTGATACTAAATTTTATTAAATTTGATTCAACATTTGCAAGTAAAGCATCTCCTGCAGATTTTTGATAATTTATAGAATTATCAGCATTCACATTATTCATCATATTTTCATTGGCAACTTTATTTGTGTCAGCACCAGAATATTTTTCATTAATTTCTGAAATCAGCTCTGATGTTGATTCTATTATTATAGAATCAGCAGATGTACCCTGTGAAAGCATTTGATGCTTTTCTAACAATTTATTTATAGCTGCATCACTTATATCGATTGTAGCAGCTGGACCGTAATCTGGCCTTTTTGGTCTTTCCTCTGTATAATTAAAAAACAATAAAAACAAAAGTTTAAAACAAATATAAAAATAACTATTTATCAGATTTTAATAATATTATGTAATTTAGTAATATATATATATATATATATATATATATATATATATATATATAAAACAATAATAATTAAAATTATTACTTCACAATACAAAAAGTTAAAACTTACATAAAGAAATACTTTTCAAAATTAAAAAATCTGTTATATTAATGTGCGTAAAACTATAAAACAATCAATAATATAATAAATAATGTTTTAATTGCATAATAAAAGAAATCATTGAGCTGTGAAAATATTCATAACAATATCTTCAGACACATTTATTTGGTCAATATAAATTTAATCATAATAAACTTTCTAAATTTCAAGAGAATCATATGTATAATAGCTCTTATATGCAATATACATATGCTCTTGAAGTTTAGAAAGTCGACTAATAGTTTTCCATCATTTTTTGATGTTTTATACACTAATACACACAACTATATTGAAATCAATTAATGTTCTACATATTTATCAATTTAACTATTTTTTCTTTTTCAACAAAATAATATTTAAAAATATTATATTATTATGAATATGTAAACCTTACGTTTTAATATATCACATGCCACATAATCAGCTGCTCTAAATAACTCTGCTTTTGTAAGAAGTTCCAGTAATAATCTTAATGTTGGCCTTTTCCTTCCCATAGTACTCCATTCATCTAAAAAAACTTCAGCTGCATTGCGCTTATCTCCATATGCTGTTTGCTCAATTATGCTACATAATCAAAAATTATGAGTTATATTACAAAAGAATTTAATATTCGTTTCTTTTGACAAAAAATTTTTAACAATGTACGTATATCTTTTTAACGATATACTTTACGATGAAAATTAATGTAAAAAAATATTTTCTTGCTTGCCTGATATGATCATTATTGAATTTTTTTATATTTTCTTGTTTAGGCACAATAGCCATTAATTTCTTCCATGAATCAGAAATACTTAATATATTACTCAAAATATACAACTCGCCGGGTCTTAACTTTCGTATTTCCATATCTAAACACACTTGGGTAGACATTTTTAACAGGAATGAGAGGATGACAGATGATCAATTGACAGATCATCAGATGACAGATGATCGAATTGAAAATCTCTTGCGGTGAAAATGCAAAACTTCAAATACAAAGTTGCCATTTTACCAAAAAAAAATCACTAATTCAATAATAGTTTTTTTATTTTATAGCCAAACATGATTGATTTCTATTTTCAGATCCGACCAATCAGCGTCGAATTACATCGGAAAATGTTGTCCAATTGCTGAGTTCGTTGAATGCGGCCAATCACAGCCATTCTTCTAAAGCATATATTAAAGAATATACCGTATATTCATAATTGTCTAGTAAACTATTCGAAAACGCCATTAAGGTGCGGCCTCATTGACGCTAAAAAGTAGCGTCAACCATTGGTTGAACAATGAAGCAACTATACTTACCTCTTTGTTCAACCAATGGTTGACGCTACTTTTTAGCGTCAATGAGGCCGCACCTTTAGTGCCAAAAAGAACCTAAAGGTGCAATTTCATTGACGCTAGAAACCAGCGGCAAATTAAAATCACTAGACTTTCTCTAGATATAACGTCAATAAAATAAAGTTCAAACAGTTTCAACTTTTTCAGTGTGTAAAGCGGCCTTTTCATTGACGCTACTTTTTAGCGTCAATGAAATTGCACCTTAACAATTGGCAGCCCTACGAGATAGGCTGTGCAGCACTGCGCGTATATAAAATAAATTTGAAATCGCTTCTAGCCTAACCATCTTCACGCGATCGACTTTATTTGAATTGCACGGCACCGCATCGAATTATGATGCGGCGCCGATTTGTTCGAACGTAATTCGGGATATCGCGATGCTGTATAAGCGTCGAATGAGCACGAATTGTCACGCAAATATGATAAATCACATCTACTCACCGTTCACCGGCTATTCCACAGGCCGCTCCACTCGTTCGCCTCGGGACGTCCCATTCCGATCTTGATGCACACGATATTATCAACGCGAACGTGCGACACTTTATTCGGCACTCCCGATATTCGCTCGCATCCGATAATCATCATCAAGGGCGCAAATAACGCGACGCGACTTCGCTCCATCTTCGCGATCGCGCTATCACTGAACTGTGAAAAATAGCTGTCGCGCACTTTCACCGACATATTATGAAAGTCGCGCGATCATCCTTGGACACTTTCGACGCTCTTTCACTCGCGATATTCGTTTAAAAACGGTTAAAAGACACGAAAAATGCGGACGTACGACGATCCGTGTAACTGCGTATGACTCCGATTCACGTATGACGCGTATCACGTAGCTATGACGCGTATGACGTAGAAGTCACGCGCTAACATGGCGGCCGAACCAATGCGCATTCGTTTCTGCGCACTGGTTCGGCCGCCATGTTAGCGCGTGATTGCTACGTCATACGCGTCATACGTGAATCGGAGTCATACGCAGTTACACGGATCGTCGTACGTCCGCATTTTTTGCGTCTTTTAACCGTTTTTAAACGAATATCGCGAGTGAAAGAGCGTCGAAAGTGTCCAAGGATGATCGCGCGACTTTCATAATATGTCGGTGAAAGTGCGCGACAGCTATTTTTCACAGTTCAGTGATAGCGCGATCGCGAAGATGGAGCGAAGTCGCGTCGCGTTATTTGCGCCCTTAATGATGATTATCGGATGCGAGCGAATATCGGGAGTGCCGAATAAAGTGTCGCGCGTTCGCGTTGATGATATCGTGTGCATCAAGATCGGAATGGGACGTTCCGAGGCGAGCGAGTGGAGCGGCCTGTGGAACAGCCGGTGAACGGTGAGTAGATGTGATTTATCATATTTGCGTGACAATTCGTGCTCATTCGACGCTTATACAGCATCGCGATGTCCCGAATTACGTTCGAACAAATCGGCGCCGCATCATAATTCGATGCGATGCCGTGCAATTCAAATAAAGTCGATCGCGTGAAGATGGTTAGGCTAGAAGCGATTTCAAATTTATTTTATATACGCGCAGTGCTGCACAGCCTATCTCGTAGGGCTGCCAACTGTTAAGGTGCAATTTCATTGACGCTAAAAAGTAGCGTCAATGAAAAGGCCGCTTTAAGGTGGAAGCACATAAAATTGCAGAAGCCTTCAAAGGCAGAAGCACAACCATAAGCAGGAAAATTGATTGGTTTATTTTCTTATGCATATATTTGTGGACCAATCAAATTCCTTATGCTTATGGTTATGTGCCTATGCAATTTTATGTGCTTTAAGCTTTACACACTGAAAAAGTTGAAACTGTTTGAACTTTATTTTATTGACGCCATATCTACAGAAAGTCTAGTGATTTTAATTTGCCGCTGGTTTCTAGCGTCAATGAAATTGCACCTTAAGTGTAGAAAGTGCAAATGAAATGAATAGACTTTTGTCCACAGAAAAGAAGGTTACTATTTCATCACGTGTTAAATTGTCCGAATAATATTTAATTCATATTGTTACTATTGAATATTTATATGTAGTAATTATATTAGATATTGGATTTTCTATAAACGATCAGGTAAAGATTATATTTTTTTATCTTATTTTTTTTGTCAATAATGACATTTGAATTTAATATTGTAAGAGCTATTTATCCCTTTTATCTTGTTGCGATTTCTTCTACGCAATGTTTGTTAAACATGTAACACAATTAAAGGATGCTAGGACGCATAATGATATCGCAGCCAAGCTTAAATTTCTTTTTTAGGTGTATCTTTTTACATTTTGCGTTGAAAGTGAAAATTTTAGAATTTAAAGCCAGGAAAAGACAAAATTGTAAAAAGTGCACCTAAAGAGAGATTTTTTTGTCAATATATAGGATCATGAAACACTTTAGAAAAATTATCTGAGTAATTAAAAAATATTAATATATATTGTGTACTTAATTATTAAAATGTGAATATTTTAAATTATAATATCTAAAATATATACATTTATTTTTTATCTAAAATATATACATTTATTTTTATCTAAAATATATACATTTATTTTTTACTTATCTAATTATTTACCAATAACTCATGTAACATAAAGTCTGCAGTTATGATATAAATTAATTCATGAATGAAATTACAGCATTATGTAGTTTATATTTTTAATTTTTTTTTATAAGAATTTGTAGAAAATAATATTGTTACTATTCCTTATTTTTTATTAAATATTTAAAGTTATATAATGAAACAATTATTATTGTCAATTGTTTCTGTTGTGCAGTGCATGATCCTGTATATGGCAGTTGGCAGATTCATCAGTGCAGTACGGCATTCTAGTTGCTTAACATATCAGTATCGCTTTTATGGAACTACTATGACTTCCTTGCTGGTTCCTCCAGTATCGGTACGTGGTATGACATGCTTGGATCGTGATGCATTTACAACTGTTGTGAATGTACCAACATTAAAATTATGTAGCTCTGTTGTTTCGACAATTATGCAAGTCTTGAAGAAATATTTGTTAAAGATATGTAATTTTAAACCAATTCAAAAAACAAACGAAGGAATTATTATTTATCTAAATCCAAACATTGTTACAAAATTTGAAGATATTACTGAGAATGATAGAAAATTGTTAATGGATCAATATGAACATTTTGATTTTATGAGCATTACGATGAAATATGATAATTGGCGTCGTGATGAGATATTAAAATCAATTCTACCAGAAGATATTCAAGTTCCTACAGCATATACTTTAGTGGGACATATTGCCCAGTTGAATTTACGTGATGTACATTTGCCATATAAAACTATTATTGGTCAAATATTTCTTGACAAGACTCCAAATGTGCGGACAGTAGTAAATAAAATGAATACAATTGACACAAAGTTTCGATATTTTGCTATGGAGATCCTGGCTGGTGAAAAAAACACAATAACAATCACAAAAGAACATGGCTGTACATATGAATTTGACTTTGCAACAGTTTATTGGAATTCACGTTTGTCTACTGAACATACACGAATGACAACATTTATGATGCAAGATGATGTCCTATATGATGTATTTGCAGGAGTAGGACCTTTTGCTATTCCTGCCGCACGTAAAAAGATACAAGTATTTGCTAATGACTTGAATCCCGAATCTTACAAGTGGCTTCAAAAAAATGCCGCTGCTAACAAATTAAAAAATAATTTTAAAGCTTTTAATATGGATGGCAGAGATTTTTTAAGAAATATCGTTAAAGATGATATTTTATCCAGACGTGCTCAGAATTTACCTGGTTCTGAACATATAATAATGAACTTACCTGCATCAGCTATTGAATTCTTGGACATATTACCTGATTGGTTTACACATGAAGAGTTTAAGAAAGTTTGTCTTAAACCACTTATATTCCATGTATATTGTTTCGTAAAAGCAAATAAAACAGACAATGTTTGCAAGCTTGGAAGGTTATTGGTTGAGCAAAAGCTTGGCTATATCCTGTCTACTGATGCTATTGTTAATATACAGGATATTAGGGATGTTGCACCAAATAAAGAAATGGTTCGAGTGTCATTTTTATTGAAAGAAAGTATGCTTAAAGACAAGGAGCCGGCAATGAAGAAACTTAAAATAGAGATGAATAATATGTAACAATTTATTTAATTAACAATGTAACACTGATGTTACAGAAAACAATGGGAAGAAGAACACTCAAGCCAACTAGGAATGAAAACAAAAAAGTTTTTGAATTAGCATCAATTCGCAGTTGGAAATTAAAAATTAAAGCACAGAAGACTTTTAATCCAAAGAAAGTAAGTGTGTGTGACAGATGATCACAAATTAAAATAAAATGAAAATTTATATTATTTTTTGGAAATATTTAAAATCAAATCATAAATTATCAATTCAATTTATATAAAGTACAATAATGCAATAAAAATTAATATTATTTACTATTTGATTAAATTCTATAAAAGTTTTGAACAAATATATGCAAAACTTGAATACATAGAATATAATAACATATTACTTGAAAATGCTTTACAAACAACAATTACTTTTTTGTTTTGAAATCAGATTGATTCAAAAAAGAATGAGACATTAAGCAAAGATAAACTAGCCTGGATCAATGTGCATCAACTATTTGAAGAAATATTGAAGAATCATTCTCAAGCAAAACTTGATACTGAAAAGAAAACAATTAAAAAAGATACAAACTTTCTAATAACTATGGTTGCATCAGCAGAAATGAATACAATAACTTCAAAAGTGGAGCATATGCAACTTGAATGAACAATGAAAAAAATAGATAAATAATTATATAATAGATAGATAAATGTATAATCCAATCCTCTGTTTTCATTTACATTAAAAAATGTTATACAACATAAGATGATGTAATATTTTATTAATATTATACTATTTATACTTTTTTATAACAATAAATAAAATATTATATCACTTGTCATTCGATTTTCTTACCTACTTTTATTTTACTGTTAGACAACATTTAGTGATTTATTTTGCGAATGTCTTGTCAGAATTATATAATGTACTAGATAAGAAATAGATAAAACAAAAATCATAAATCATAATTATATATCATGCATAGTAATGAGAAACTGTGTCTAAATTACATTTTATTTATTGTTAACAATACAAAGAAAGACATAAATTATTTCTGACTATTTTTTTTCCGTCTCAGTGAAGAATTCAGAAGGATTTAGAAGGATATGTCGCAACAGATATGTCGTTCATGTACAGCGTGTTTGATAACTGTGGGAGATGAAATTTTACGCGGACAAATAGTTGATACTAATACATCATATCTAGCAAAAAATTTAACTGCTGCTGGAGTAAGATTACAGAAAGTCACAATAGTTCCTGATATTGTACGTATCACCTTATTATCATTATTTGTAAACATATAAAGATTATTAATAAATACAATGAATACTACATATAAGAATATTTATTTTTATTCTTTATTAATATTAAGAAATTATAAAATATTTTTTTTGTTTAGCTATATAATTTGACAAATATAATACTTTAAATCACATATGATTATTAAATCATATAATGATTATTAATATTCAATGATTATAGATAGATGACATTGCCAAAGAAATAAAGAGTGCTTCAAAACAATATTCTGTTGTATTTACATCTGGTGGTGTTGGACCTACTCATGATGATGTAACTTATGAAGCTATAGCAAAGGCTTTTGAATTAAAACTCGAATTTCATCAGGAATTGTTTGACATATACAGTCAATTAATTCCTGGCCAGCATGAAGTAAGACGACTTGCCATTGTTCCTAATTCTTGTGAAATTATCAACATTAATTCTACAGGTGTATATTTTTATTTAAAATTTATTTTCATCATGTTTATACATTGTGTTTATACATACTCTATAAAATATATTTTTATTTAAATTTTTATATGAATAAAACTAAAATTTATACAGAAGAATGTCTGAAAGAAATTATTTAACAGTTTATAATCAAAATATTATACAATATTAATACACAATATATATGTTGTATCAAAATTTTTAGAAGTTTTCCCAGTGATAAGTGTGAAAAATGTTTACGTACTGCCTGGTTCACCAAAATACTTTGAAGCTGCTGCAGATGTAATAATACCTCGATTGAAAAGATGTTCGCCACTATATTATATACATATAGATATTGAATTGGATGAATTATCAATAGTAAATATTTTGGATAAACAGTCAAAACGTTGGGATGATAAAGTAAAAATTGGCAGTTATCCACAAACAGAACCGCAAATTTTTACGAGGATTACTTTGGAGGGATCGGAAGAAGCAATTGCAGAAGCAAGAAATGAACTTTTCTATTATCTGCCAATACAAAAAATTATGAATCTAAAACATGGATTTGGTCGTTTCCAAATGAACGCTATTCTAGAAGATAGTAAAAATGAAGCACATGTTAAATATTCACTAGACATATTAAATGAATGCTATGATAGGTATGCATGATAAATAATTAAAAATCATATCAATGCTTCCAATGAATGTATGTATAACGTACATATGAATACATATTCTGATTTATATATATATATATATATATATACTGAATATCCCATTTATTAGAATCTGTACATATGTATATGTTTTACAGATATAATTCAGATGAAGTATTCATTAGTTTTAATGGCGGTAAAGACTGTACAGTAGTCTTGCACTTAGCTGCTACCATTGCAAAATTGCGTAATATCTCGCCTCTATTATGTTTATATGTAACTGCCGATTCCTTCCCAGAGGTAAGAACACTAAATTAAATAATGTAATATATCAGAATATTTTTATATATCATTTTGAAATTATATAGGTGGAAACGTTCGTAGAATCAGCTTCTCAATATTATGGTTTAGAAATAATACGAAAGCAACGGCCAATACAATCCGCGTTGTCCGCGTTATTGAAGGAAAGATGCAATTTGAAAGCAAGTCTCATGGGAATGAGAAAGGGTGACCCAGGTTCTGAAAATCTACAACCGTTTGCGCCCACTGACTCGGATTGGCCACAATTGATGCGCGTTAATCCAATCTTACACTGGTCGTACAGTCAAATATGGACATTCTTATTGAAGCATAACATTCCTTATTGTTCGCTCTATGATCAAGGATACACTAGTATCGGCAGCAAAAGTACCACGGTGCGAAATCCGTTATTGAAAGATCCTAATAATCCCTTATCTTATTTACCAGCATATACTTTACTCGATAAATCAGCCGAAAGAGAAGGCAGAGTATAATAAAACATGAATTTAGTGCAATTTTTAAAAATTAAGAAGATAAGAAATTTTATACGCGTATATACGTGTTCAATTGACTACTATTAATTATTATTATTATTAATATATTAATTATTAATTATCAGTATTTATTATTAATATTAAATACTTTTACAAATTAATTTTTGTTCCTACAATCGTATTAACTGTGGTGTAGGGGTAACATCTTTTATCTTACAGATAATTGTATGAGAAACTTTTTAATAATATTTAGATCATATTCATAGATATTCAGTGATGATATCCAAAATGCTTCTACATAATTTTTAAAAATAAATTATTGCTGATAAAGATTTTTGAATATTTTTTTTCCTGGAGAAATCAATAATAAGAATTGTCTTATCGTACGGTTAAAGCCATAAGAAAATCCTACTATAGACAGTTCGATAGTTAACTAACGTAATATAAAAGCATGCTGATCATCTCAGTTTGGGGATAATCTTCGATTAATCCTCCGTTCGAAGCCATTTAAGCTCGATGGATTGGAGGTTTCGCGGATTTGAATCACCGCAGAACGTATAAAAAGTCCAACGATACGAAATAAAATAAAGTGAGAGATTGATAGATCGCAAAATGTATAACGGAAGTTTTCATTGGGAGGCGAGAATTCTGCCAGCAGGACCACCACGGTTACTGGGATGGAACGTTCCTGCTGAAGAATTGGTCCATATACCGGAACATTGGCTGGTCTATCCCGAGCCCAATCCCTCCCTTCATTATCTGCTAGCTATTGTGTATATTCTTTTCACTTTCGTGGCACTATTCGGAAATGGACTAGTTATATGGATATTCTGCTCGTAAGTTTTACATACACACAACATACATTATGATTAAATATTTTGGCAAGGAATTTCACTCAACTATTTAAATAAACTATGCCAATTTCACAAGCGTACGAAAGATATATTAAAAAATCAATAAATTTTAATATTTTTTTCTGCAAAAAGAAACCTTTCTAATTCTTAACACATTATTATTAAAAATATCAGAACTCATGATATTATTGTATAAAAATGGAGTCTCTTTTATTTCTTTTCTACATGTAGAGCTAAATCGCTGAGAACTCCCTCCAATTTGTTCGTGGTGAACCTGGCATTTTGTGATTTCATGATGATGCTGAAAGCACCGATATTTATATATAATTCCTTCCACACCGGATTTGCTACGGGTCATTTGGGATGTCAGATATTTGCTTGTATGGGATCGCTCAGTGGAATTGGAGCTGGCATGACGAATGCCGCTATTGCATATGATAGATATAGGTATCACAAAGTTTTTCCAAATAAATAAAATTTAATATTAATATATATACGTTAAAATTAATGCTATATTATGTATATCTGTATTGAATCTAATAAACATGTATTCACATATACATATGTATAATTTATATTTACATAAATATAAATAAAATTAGTACTATAGCTCGACCACTCGACGGGAAATTGTCACGCGGCCAAGTGTTGCTCCTTATCATGCTTATTTGGACGTACACGATTCCTTGGGCCTTGATGCCACTGATGCAAGTTTGGGGTCGTTTTGTACCTGAAGGCTTTTTGACGAGCTGCTCTTTCGATTATTTGACAGATTCGCAAGAGATACGATACTTCGTGGCCACAATATTTACCTTTTCCTATTGTGTACCAATGTTGCTCATCATATATTATTATAGTCAAATCGTCGGCCACGTTGTCAGTCACGAGAAAGCTCTGCGTGAACAAGCGAAGAAAATGAACGTTGAAAGTCTGAGAAGCAACGTAAATACGAATGCTCAAAGCGCGGAAATACGTATAGCCAAGGTATCATATAATTTTTATAAAAATAATTTTTTCATACAAATTATATCTTTGAAAAAATTTAAAATTAAAATTAAATATTTACCTCTTATTTATTTCTTTACCTATTTATTAATTTCTAATTATTTATTTATCTATTTATCTCATATCTATTAAAAATTAAATATTTATCTCTCTTTTTTTAATTAATAAGTCACACTTTTATAATTAAAACGCATGTATTAAGAAATATTGCGTGGCATATTTTGTATCTTCTTTTCTAGGCTGCGATTACAATCTGCTTTCTTTTCGTCCTCTCGTGGACTCCATACGGTGCTCTCGCGATGATTGGTGCTTTCGGGAATAGAGCATTATTAACTCCAGGTATTACGATGATACCGGCATGCGCATGTAAATTTGTGGCTTGTTTGGATCCGTACGTGTACGCCATAAGCCATCCTAGATACAGGCAAGTAAATTTAACATAATTATACTGATGTAGATCAGGAGCTTTAATAACAATTTTCTCTAAACGTTATATTATTTCACAGGCTGGAACTGCAAAAACGATTACCGTGGTTAGAACTTCAAGAAAAGCCAGTTGCGGATACCCAGAGCACTACGACTGAAATGGTGAATACACCCGCATCCTAAATCTTAGTCAAGAAAATTATGACATTGTTGCTATAGCATTGATGACAAAAAAATATAAGTTTTGGCATCGACAGATGATATAAATTTGGTAAGCGCAATATTTATAATGGCTATTGCAACTATTTCACATTATATACGGGTGATGAATATATCTGTTAAAATGATGTGACATTTATCCCTATAACAACAAAACATAGTATGAAATGTATAGAAAACATAGTATTAATCATGTGTAATCAAACAATGCAATAAATACTTCTAATATATGTCTTACTTAATACGACACATTTCATTCTCGATATATCATTTAGTTGAACATGATAAATGTTATATCGTTTTCACATAGATTAATCTTTCTTTAATTAGACTTGCCATAATCTTCATCGTCTTACCATTTGATGAAATTTTAAATGTTCTAAAACTTTATTCTATCTATTTAGAGCAGCTATCTATTAATTTTTAAATAAATGTAAGGCAAAGGATACTCGTTTCTAACAATCTCGTCAATTCTATAAAATTCTATGCTAATTTCATTCTGAAAGAGAGTTACAGAAGTTTTTTGGATCATGTATATCTGATGCGTTCAATATTTATTATTCGTTACAAATAGTCATTGCTGAAAGGAAACTTGAGCGATGGAAAAATACACAATCGTATAAGGAACAAAAACTAGCAAGTTATAACTTTATTCATTTTTATATACTTTTTATCAGCCTTAAAACTAATAGGCCTTACAAGATCGAAAAAATAAAATTTACGCGATCGATCGGATAGCTAGCACTTAACATATATCGACATTATTGTGATAATTCATTGCAGCTGTGTTACAGCTAGCGTGAAAAATGGAAGAGAGAAGTCGAAGTAAAAAATAAATAGACTTTATAAATCTCGAAGAAAAATTCGGTGGGGGTTTTTCAAAGTGGCCAGAATCACACCTGTTCGTCCGAAATAAACGTCAGTTAAAATTCCTTGAGTAAGCGTCGACAACTCGTAACTGTCATAAACTTAATTTAAACACGAAGACAATAGCATTTTCATGCGATTACATAAAGAATCGTCGAGTCGATTTTCTCGTAACGCGCACGTTTTACGAGATGGCATCCTTTGTACTATTTTCACTGCTCTAAACGGTGCTGTTTTTTAGCCGCTAATGCAATTACAATAATAAATAATAAACCATCCTCTCTCATTTTCTCTTTTACGCAGTCTCTAGGAACTTCTTAAATTCGACTACGTTAGCTCGCAGAAGACATCGATTTCGTTTATTTAGAAATTCTCTATAAGCGGCGTAAGGTATCCGACTCTGAATAACAGGTACATAAACGATGTACGGAATGCTCGTGAAAGGGTAAGAGCGTTTTGTCTCGCGAATCTCACTTGCTTGGCACAATCGTGTGCTTTAATCAGAGACTGATCAGAGAGAGATTTATCATATTCTCTTCAAAGGCTTCGGTGTTCTTGTTATTTCTCTCTTCGATAAAACACCTCGATTTTTCTGAGAACAAGTTTTCTTCTTTCTCGAGAAATATATTCACGAATGTCTTAGGATATAGATTTTGAAATTGATATAGTTTAGATCATTTTATAATATACGAGATATTAAAAAGTTAGATATAATTCATTTCATTTATCACTAGCTTTTGTAGCTTATTAAAAAGCTAGTCTTACGGAAATTCAAAGCTCTAAATTGAACATCATCATTAAGATTATGTATATAGCCTATATTGTGTTCCATTCCGTATTCTATTCGTTTTTGAAAAATATTTGCGCAGGAAACAGAAATTGTATGCTATTACGTGCTATTAGTAAATTATTCAATTATATTATTTTACTAAAAAACGATTCGATAAAATTATCTTAATAATGAACACGAAAAAGCATACATATTCAATATAAATTGTTTTCTTTTAATTAACATCTAAAAAGATATGGTTTTTCTATTACTTAAATAGTTTCTTTCTATAACGTTACACATAAGGGAACGTAACTCATCACAGAAAAAAAATATCACACGCAAATTTATACAAGAATATAAGCATGACGGATAAGCGTATCGAGGAATGGAACGTCGTTATGTATGTATGTATGTACCACTTATGATTGCTTTAAGAGATTTGGAAATTATTTCCCTCAACATTTTTTCTCATTCATCTGTTTTTCGCACGATGGTGTCTCACACTCTTCACAGTCCATTCGCTCTCGCCTTAATCGTTAAAAACTACAAGAAGAGGCAGATGCTTGACAACTTGAACCAATCATTCAGAATATGGATTGTGTATGCAGCGGAAGCGATTTTTACGAATGTAAGTAGAAAATATTCGAGGCGCACGATTTTTACAGAATATTGGCGCAATAACAACGAGCCACGAGGGCATTAATAATATACGTTTGTTCGTCGCCCCTCTTATTACCTCTACGACTACTATAATAACAATAAACTACTATAAGTGTCTTGTTGCAGATATGTACTCCATCGATAAACATCTAAAATTAGACTAGAGTGTTGCGCTCATCGCACGATTTAGATTGTTGCAAAAGAACCGGCGCGAGATGCATCTCGACGGATAAAACGATCGATCACGAGTGCGAGAATTTTTCGGCGTGAAAGTGACAGTTACACTCGCTAAATATAATTCGAGATGCGAGATCTTTCGTATGTTATCTCGGCAGCGAGCTACTGAGACAAACAACTCGCTTGTTCGTTCAGGTAAGACTACGATGCGAAATCTACAAGATTTACTTTGTTCTATATTCCGTTTCCTCGTCTAGGAGACACATAATCGCTACCGCGACTGCATCTCTGGATGCAAAACGCTATGCGACACTTGCTATCATTCTAAAACGATCGCATGAGCTTTATGAGAAGAGAGATATCGATTTTGATTTAGGCATACGCGATATACATCGTCGTTAAAAATGGCAGGTTAACGGCATGAGTCGTGCATCTAATTGTAAGCGTATAAGAATTTCATGCATCAGTTACGATGCTGAAAATGTAATGATAAAAGATGCAGTCCAGTCGCGCGCTCCCAAATACTTTTGCTTTTATAGACGTGGTTCCAAATGAGCTGATAAAAATCGATTTGAACCGTCAATTGGATGACCTCATCCGAGATGAAAACGAACGAAATCTTCATCCAGCTGCCTCCTCTCCCTTATCCAAAACTACGAATAAAAAAAACACGTAGTTCGGAATTAGGAGCTATCTATATATTTCGCAAGTTAAAAATTTTGAACTCGTCAGGATTACTCTTCATTAGTATCTATGAATATGTATATGTATATGTAATGTAATTTTCAATTACTGCCTAATCGTCTATCCGTTTCACGACGAATTCATCATGTAAAACATTAACAACCTTGAGTGTGAATTATTTCGCGATTTCTACACTTACGTACGCTTTCCGCAATATTTAAGGATCGATTGCACTTTCATCATGATTAATTAACTATTTTTTTTCTATCCGCGTTATATAATGAAAGATCCAGGGTGAAAACACTGAGCGTTAATTTTAGCAAAATATGATTGGCATATTATACAGTTAATTGATCAAGACTGATTGAGGGCAATCGACGTTAAGGATAACGCACCTGTCAGGCACCTGTCACAGATGATTATAGCCATTACACGGCCTTGGGAGCAAGTACATTGACTGCGATCGTCGAATGACGACGACGACAATCATAATGATGATGATGATAATGATGACATGACTATACGTAGCGTCTAATAGCATGAGAAGCAGGGGAAGCAGCTACGACGAGAAACGGTATTCCTGAGGAAGACAATTTGCGTCGGAGCTCTTGTAAGTTGCGCAACCATATCCACTCGACTTGTTGGCTTTCTTCTTCTCCTCCGTCGTCGTCGACTTCCTCGTTTTATGGGGACATAATATCAGTGTAGTGGCCTGACTTTCTTTCGACTCTTCTTGCATACGTATCTTCGACCTCCGCGGTTGCTCGACCGATTCTTTGTTCTGTTTTTCCGCTATCGCTTCGCTGCGAACGTGTTTCTCCTCTACGATATATGTAAGAAAGAACGCTTGATTATGAAGAACTTATCACTCTCAGTAATTGTAAAAGAAAATTTAACATTCTAGCGTCCTGATCTATTCTACTTCTATGTGACAAAACTATTTATTTCTTTTTCTCAATTAAATTAATTTTTGACAGATGTTTTTTGTTCGATTTGAATAAAGGTCAGATATTTTGTTAATTTAAATTTTTTTTATAACTTCTGACAAAATTTCTTTAAATTAAATAATTAAATCTTATTGATTTATTTCTTTTGTGAGACAAAAAATTTTTAAAAATTTAAAAAATGATAACAAGAAAATGATTTCAAGAAAAAGATAAGGGTTGAAAATAATTTTAAAATGGAGTGACATGGACATAATTCAAAATGATTTTATATAACTTGAAATGTTCAGGAAATTATTTAGTCTTTTCTTAGAAAATAAAAATAAATTCTAATATCCTGATCGTTTTAACATATGCATCGTTGTAGAACGTGCTCGTATACGAACCTTCCACGACGTCGTCGAATAGAATCTTCGATGTCCTCGCGACTATAGCTTTCCCGTCACCCTCACTGCTCGTGAACTCTCTCTCGGTATTATTATTCGTGCGGAATATCGATTCGAGGACCTGTCGCGAGAGTAACGGTGACACTGGGCGTTTTTTCGACGAGCGAGTATTGGCCGTCATATTGGAATCGCACGCGTCTGTCTCGTTGTCACACATACTCGTCGTGGACACGCTATCCGTGATCAGCTTCTCGGTATCCGAATCGCCGGTATTGCTGTAGTAATTATTGCCGCTGTCGGATTTTTTCAGGATCGACTTCGACATCCGGTGACGATCCATAAACGGTGTGCCATCGCTATCTATGGAGTCCGCCGATAACGAGAACTTACTCTCAGCGCTCGCTCCTGAAATAAATCTCATTATCGTCGTGCTTTGTGACGTGATAATAATAGGGTAAAGAGAGTAAAGGTCGACAAATCAGGGAAAAAGATATAAAATTATGAGAATTATCAACTTTTTTCATTATTAAGATTTCATTATGAAGATCATACATTTATTGCGTTTCCATTCACTTATTCAGACTATAATTTGGCGGATTATTTTTTCTCTGTAAGAAATAAAAAATTACTAAGAATTTTTAAGAATTAAAAAATTATATTGCTTTTTGTGTTTTATCTTTTTCTATGCTTTAAGAGATGAACATGCATTTTTATTCGAATTTTATTTAATTTAAATTTAATTTTATCGATTATTTATATTTAAATTTAATCTTATCGATTATTTAATTTAAATTTAATTTTATCTGAAGTGACAATAAAATTCTAAAAATTAAAATCAAATAAAAATCTAAAAAATAATAATCGACACACATTTTTGGATTGATGATCCAGAGTCTGTAAATTAATCCACAATTCCAGTTTTTTTTTCAATTTCTTGGTATTAATTTATTCCGCAAGAAGAGAGAAATCCAATTATGTCAAAATCAAATATTTACCTGTGTAATGCTTCGACCCGCCGAGGGATCCAAACAAGTGGTAATTGATGATGCGCGTGGCTGACGCCAGATTCGTCGGCACCAACGTGGAGGGTTTACCACCGCGCAGTCCTCCGTAATGATTGTTATTGTCCTCCATAGCGGCCTCCTCCTTCAGGATACCACGCGCTACCACGCCTTCCTGATCGCTAACGAATTGCGCTCGTGGCTTTACGCTCTGCAATCAATCACGATTGATGATTATTACATATGCTTATATTGCGGCTTGCAACACTGTGCGAACAGTAGAAACGAGTCACATGCCTCGTATTCTCTCTGTTGCATATTCATTTATAAAACGGAAAATTCTTGTAAAATTTCTTGAATAAATAAATGTTAAAATTGTACAATCACAAGCAGTAATAAATCTGCGATATACATACTCATAAATTATTATCATTGTCATAAATAATAAATTCGCGCAAAATAGACATTTAACGTGGAAAAGATGCACATTCATGTGCAATGCATTTTTAAGTACATCGAAGGGAGAGGAAGTTTAATTTGCTGGAATTGTCAAATGTAGCATATAGGTCGGTTAAAAAAATTAATAGCTCTGCATTTGTATTTCAATTAGAAAGGCGTCAAAATATTATATTGCATTATTAATGCGAAATATAAGAATATAAATAAAATGAAAGATTAGCTAGTTTAAAAAAAATTTAAGCTAGAAAATATGTAGGTCAATAAAAAGTGGAAAGAGCAATCCCTGATTAAGAAGAGGACCTGGAGATCGAAACTAGAAGTTCGATTATACTTTACAAATATACTAACAAAAAACTTATTTCATGTAATATATTGCGCGCAAAATATTGATCGATATTCTAGCTTTGAAGCAGAGATATATGATATAAAAGATATGCTAATAGCTTCTTATAATTATCGATATAATTTAGTTTATAATCACAGTAGCGTGATCTAGTATAATTGTATAACAATTACCTACTCACGAAGTAAATTAAATTTCGTCACGCGATTAATATTATATAGTCTTATACATATAATCTTCCATAAAAAATTGTCACATTATTATTCTATTCTAATTTAATTATATTTAATTATAAATATGCGACATTGATTATAAAAAACTTCAATTATTTAATTAAAATTAATTAACTTCCAATTATTCGCTCGAATATTTATATAAAATTAGAATTTTTAATATTTACAACAACATTGTATATATCTGTAAAATATTTTTCGTATACTTTTCATATCGCAACAGCATTTAATCATCGATTGTTATATTTATACGCGGAAACTATGCGTTATTATAGTTAGTCTTGGTCATATTTATACGCGTAAGTTTTGTTTAAAGCATTTAAAGTTTGTTTTCAAGTTCAAGGTAGATGCGTGACATAGCACACGAACAGTTCCCTACGAGCATATAACTATAACAGATTAGTATTGTAAAGTCGTTTATGTGCAAAATACGTAGAAATGTTGTAGAATTCTTTACAATTTAAAAAAATGTTTTAGTCTAAATCTCTACGATAAATTCGCGTATAATAGATATATCTTTTGAATAAAAAAAGATATAACATAATAAGAATAGATTCAAGGCTAAATATTAACTCTATTTTTTATATAATTTTATGTTAAGATCATTTTATTAATAAAAGAGAACCGTCATAACTGTTTTTTTTCTATCCTTTTTCTTTTGTTTTTTTGTTTTCCTTACAATCCTCTGGTCTTAATCGTTTTTTGTGGACATCTTTTATATAATATAATAATTTATTACTTTAATCATGCTATTCTGGAGAAAATGAGGTACTTAGGAAAAAATATATACATGTGATATGGAACATAAAAGATAACAGATGGGAGGTATATTGATATGAAAAGTTTATCGGATGAATTTACATGCACGTGTATTGTTAATGAATGTAATTTAATGATATGTATGTTCGCGATTATTCGAGAAGCGACTGATTTAGATTTTGTTTTCTTTCCACATTATAGCCTATAATACAAAAAAGAACCGAATTTTTAAATATAATTGGCATTACATTTGTGACTGCAGATAATACAAGCAGCATGATACACTCCAATGACCAAGTAATATATGTACATTATATATGTACATTAATTAGTTAGCTGATAATAACATACATTTCTCTAATATATCCAATTAGCCTGGATAAAATTCGTAAATAGAAATTCACGGAAAATGGGTTAAATTAACTAACTTTTTCGAATTTCATATCAATTTCGTAATTCCAAATTTTTAATTCAGATTGCGGATTAAAATTAATAATATAAACAAGATTGAGTACTGAATCGTTAAAAGTTAAATATATAGAGTTAGCTTGAAGCATTATTTAGAAATTTTTAAACCAGCATTATTATATATATTATTGCATTAATAACAGTTACTATAATATCGCGATCTATAAAAAATACATAATATGTATGTAAGTATTATTAACGATTAAGATTTAAATATTAATGTGTTAAATTAAAATTTAAATATTAATGTGTTAAATTAAAATTCTGCATTTAAATATGCAATTTAATTAATAAAAAATTTATCATAACAAATCACTGAAAGCACGCAGATCCTGCGACATATGTTGAAAATTCCTTGTTAACTTCATTCTTTTTACTTCTTATGGAAAAATTATGAGAATGAGTTCTCAATTCATATATAATTTGTCCGATAAAAAGCGCAATAATAAAATGATACATAATTCGATAAAAATAATATTTTTTTATCGAATTCGACGTCAATTTTTTGGTAACAAAAATTTTTCAAAATATTATTATCCTTCGAAAGTAGTCTTCGATTCTCAATACTTAATATTGGAATAATAAATACTAAACTGAAATTCAATCGAGAAGAAAATTTCACATTGCATTCTTTTATTTTAAAGACTTAATTCAAAGCTACGAGATGCTGATCTAATTGAATTAAATTCCAACTGTGAGCAAAAATTAATAGTTGAAGCTATGAAGAAAAATGGATTGTCAGTTTGATAAGAGTGTCTCATTTTTCTACGCTTTTTATCGGGTACAGTGCACATGCCATTGGCCCTGAGACGATAGTTCCGTGACGCAAGGTGAACGATACCCGCTATCTGTCGCCAGCCAAGCGCACGAACACGCTGTCACGCTGCGAACGAGCTTACTTCCGTTTCCGAGCGCCAATGTGCGATATCGCGCATTTCCCCTCTGACGAGCATCGGAGCGTTCAGAAAAGTACGATAGCCTGTGGCAATCGCTCAACTGCGCTCCGCTTGTAGTCTCGGTGGTTTTTGCGGCTGAAAAAAGTAGCGAGGTGCGGCGCATGAGTGCGTGCGGTTGTGCGTGATGGGGTGTAATGTGTAATTAGCACCATCTCTTTAAAATATGTGACGCATACACCATAAAGTGTCTCTACGAGATTACATTTTTCTGCTTGATATTCACATTATTCACGAATTCCCATAACAATTAAAATACACTCATAAAAATACCACAAATGAAATATTGCGTAAATTTAGTTAGTAAATCTTGCAAAATCGTGATAGATAATTCAATTATATTTTAAAAATCAAATGATACACTTTAATCAGAAAAGTGTCCTTTTATGAGTTGCTCTATTTTTAAAGAGAAAATGCGAGTTTTATCGCGAGCTTGCAGAAATTTTAAAATTAAAAAAGAAATTAACAGCCGTTTTCAATTTAATATATTATTCTCTCTCTTTCTCTTCTTTCTCTCTCTCTCTCTCTCTCTCTCTCTCTCTCTCTCTCTGTCTTTTATTAAATATATTAAAAGATCATTTTCTAAAATCGAAATCGTGTTATATTGTAAAAATGTATACGTTATATATACATTATATATATATTTACAAGTGAATTGTATATATAAATAGAAATTTCACAAATACAAAACGCAATTTATAATACACATACTAAGTTCTTCGCACATGTACATTTCTCACGAATGTGGATATTGTAGCTTGAAATGAATCGTAAAACATTTTTTTACACTCCATTATTTATAAAGCTATTATTAAAAGAAATTTGCTATTAATAAAAAAATATTTATTTTATATGCATTACATTAAATATTATATGAAAGAGAAAAAAAGAGAAAGAAAATGCTTGTTTTCTACTTGTTTATGATGTAAATCAAGATAAATCCGTTTGTTAATACGATAAAATATAATTTTGATATTAGAAATTTACGTTCAATAGAAACAATTTATTACGTACTTCTATAAAAATTTCTTATTTGTATTAATTCTTCTTTTATATTATTTTTCTTTTTATTAAAAAAATTTCTGCATTACTATAAAGTATTTAAAAGTATTCAGTGTTTTCAGTTGACTGAAATGATTATGAAAATGTGGAATAAACGTGACACCGCAATATCTTGCAATGATAATATCTTGATATTCTATAAAATTAAAACAATGATTATTACGAAAGATTCATAGTATATAAAAAATAAATACGAATTCTCTTTATCATTAAAAGATTACAGTATCGCATTTATTCTACTGTTGAATCGAAATTGAAAAGACTGAAAATGATTGATAATGATAAGTTTGGGATTACGATAGTATTTTCCTTAATCTCTTTATCGATTTACTAATCACACTTCGCTGTCTGATTTATTTCATTTCCGTTCATTAATAGTATCGATAATCGCACATAACACAAAATAAATAGAAATTCAATTGAGGGCAAATTTTATAAATAATTTTAATAAGCTTAAAGAGCTCACCTGTTGGATCCTTATCTTCCTGTGCTTGGGTATTATATCGTTCAGGTTGACCTTGCTGGCCTCGTTAGAAGACCGTATCTCCTTGAGGGATTCGATGCTAGGCGACGTATCGGTGATGTTTCGACCGACCTCGCCGGAAATAGATTTTTTCACACGACCAGTTCCACATTTTTCCGTTACCTCCAGAGGATTCACATAAAGATTGCTGTCGGCTTCCTCGGTTAGATCGCCCTGCGGAAGCGAAGGGATTGTCCCGCGACCGAGATTTGAGACTCTATGGAGTGTAACTTCGTCGCGGAAGTGACAAATGTTCTCGTGTGCAGGCGAGTATAATCTATACTAGTCTAGTAATAGCAGATTAGGTATATATATGTATATATATATATATATATATATATATATATATATATATTTATTTATTTATTAGAGAGCGGGGGAAATCGGGGTATCTCGTCTTCATCGTTTTCAAATGTTAATGATTCCTTGACGAATTTAGGGTATTTTTGCATATAACGAAGATTGAATAAACAACCATATTATATTAAAAAGAGCACATTTTTAATCTTTATCGTTAAATACATCATTGCATACACAATAGAATTTCACGGGAATTACAATTTCTATTTGAAATGAATTGAATAGCTATTTAATTTATTCAATTATATTGACCTGAATATTTATTATTGTTATTTGTTGAATGATGCGCGCGCGTGCACGTCACAAAAATATAATAAATTAATGAAATATAAATGAATCTTTTCACGTGTAAGATGCTACGCATACAATACCATCACTTTCATCAAACGATATTTTCCAAAAATTAATTGGTCATATTTTAAATTAATTAAATATAACTATAGGATATTAAAGAGAAAATTGACAATAGTTTAGCGATATTCTTTCGAGTGCAGTAATATAACGATAAAAAGATTAGGTGCATTTAATACAGAGTTTGGAAATAAAAAAAAGCTTTACTTTAATTTTCAATATTAAACATCACCTGTCATACATCAGTATAAATCTATATTTATTAAGAGCAAATCAACTTTGAATTCGCCGAATAATTCATTAACATGTGATGCGTTAAAGGTGGGAGAGCTTACATCGGTACTTTCTCATTTCTTTCACGGTTCATCGTAGCACATAGAAATATTATAAGATATTTATATGGCAGATTCGGAAATAGAATGATAATGAATTCAGACAGAGATGATAGAAGTACGCAATAACTATTTAAATGTAATTTTTAAAGAATGAGAAGATTTTTTAAGATTTCTCGGGATGTATATATAAGAGATATTCACAAGTACACAATATCTGGTGGCAGAATCATGTTTACTCTGGGAAGCCCTGGTTTACATGACGCACGTATTGTATGATATCTTTCCACGGATCTGCTTCATATTGTCTTGTATATCATGTGTTGATTTGCACGTGACGATTATACGCTGTACGTGCAAGAGAGTTTGACCTCGCTATTATCCACGCGACTCGCGTACCTGCGAATGTGACGGATGCGTCTGACAGCTCGCGTACGTGTCGGAACTGTCGACGCTCCCCTGCTCGTTGTACGTCTTCGCGTAGCTTCCCTGCTCGTTGTAGATCCTCGTAAAGCTCAACATCTCCGACGGTTGAACGGGCGATATCTTGGGTTCCGCGAGCAACGAACCTAATTGTTCGCCGCCGCCACCGCTTTCGGTTCCGCCACCCCCGCTACTGCTGCCGCCGCCAATGCTGAACCTGAGGGACCTCATTTCCTGACACACTGGATTACGAAAGTCGCTGGTAGCGAGGGGCATTATGTCCTCCGCGTCCCTGAAGTCTTTGTACTCCTAAAAACACGAGGTGGATGAAAAGTCTCGATTATGCAATTAGGGGCGAGGATACTAGAGGCGGCGCTCTTAAATTAGTCTAAATTCTATGTGATACGTTGATGCAGGGTGGCGCAGCTTCCTCGACTCTGTTCTCGAATTAGGGAGAACATTTAAGGTTCATCGCAAAAATCATTGTTTCTCAGGCAATACGAATGTCTAAAAGATGCTAGAAAGACGTCTATATCAAAGATGTCGCGCATCTCCTGGACTTTTGTATGACTAGATTAACGTTTATGCAGATCAATTAATTTTTCCTTCTCTATCCAAGTTACAGACAGAACAGACACGTATACGTACACAAAAGAAAGCAAGGATTCGCTGTTAATCAGGGGTCATCAAGAACTGAGAGTCGATCCACTGGAAAATGCGCTCGTCTCGTTAGCAACGTTCGCGAAGCGATCGTTTGACAATAAGAAATAAAGAAGCCATAGAAGGACGTGCTTTCTCTACGCAAGTGAAAGGATTTCTAGCGAGACTGAGACAACTATCTACTATACTCGCCTGGATTATATGTCTGCGCGTAGTATGAAATGTGCGATATATGATCGCATACGTCTACTTGCTCTACATCTACTACTTAAGGGGAACGGAACCATTTTATCCCGTATTAAGATTATATTTCTGAAGCACTTTTCTGTTGCTAACCTACCGGATGCAGACACGCGATCTTTCTAAAATCGCTTTTCGATACGTCTACCGTGCGCCGCTACTCGTTGTCACTCTAAGCATGCTTCGGTGTTGTTGAGTGATGTGTTGGTGAGTGATGGGAGATATAAGTTATATTTAAGAAATGCACCAACGTTCCATTGCACGACGATACATATGCCGTACCATAGAACGTATTTGTATTGCACGTATACGTGTAAAATAATGTGTATGTGTGATAATCGAAAAAGAGATAAGTTTACCTTGTTGCCTTTGATCTTGTCTCTCGTCCCTCGTACGTGCTATCATATATAAAGAGTACTGAACACGCGCGAAGCGCACATATTTTCTAATTCTTTCTGTCTCTATCGCGAATCCAAAAAAAGATTATAAGATTCTTCTTAAGAGCATCTACTTTATCTTCAAATCATTTGGATAAAGAATAAAATATTATTCTAAAAAGAAGTTTCTTTATATAAAGATATATATATATATATATATATATATATATATATATATATATAATTTCACAAAGTTTTTTCAAATTCAAGATACTAAATTAATAATTTTCGAAATTATTTTAAATATATATAACATTGTTAGATAAATATTGAAAAAACAAGAGGAATATGGTAAAAAAGTATCGTATATTTCATGATTCATTATCAAGAAAAAATGGGTAAATCGTCATTTATTAATTATTAATCATTTATAGATTATTACTTTATACGAAAAAATGTAAAAATTACATTATAACAATTCTTATGAGATTATTACTTTGTGATATTCAATTTTATTTGATTCGTTATATTGTGATTTAATATTTTTGGGCAGTTATTTTACTGTGATGAAAATATAAACACTTTTTAATCCTGTAATACTATATTTCACATACATAATAATATATTAAAAGTATTTTACGATTCATTAATTATAAAATAAATTAATCTTTAGATAAAAAATATATTTTTATCGTCTGCATTTTATATAAATATTTATATTAATCATGAAATACTCTATTAGTGCTGAAATTTACAATGTTGTGAATATGAATTTAGTACGAAATATGTCAAAATATTCTTAAATGTATGTCAGAAAATTCTTATATTGCGGAATTAACGTCAAAGAAAAAAGAATTAGAATACTAGTGCACTTCGCGAATGAATATACAACCATTATAAACGTATAGCTTTCGTTTAGATGAAATTCGAGCATTGCCTTTTACTCGGCTGCTCAACCAATGAATATTATAAAACAATCATTGTCTTTGTACTATTTGATATTCACGTAGTCGTATTATTATAAGTATGCTTGGCAGGATAATATTTCAATTTCGAGAGTTTTGTGCAATATTATTATAATGTAATGTTAGATCAATTAAGAGGAAATTGATATGCGCGCTAAATTTTATTTCGTCGCTATGAGACGAGATTTACGCAAATTGTGCTCAATTACTGTTGTTAACATGGTTTGTAAATGCTTACTTAACGCTTTTATATACGATATTTAAAAAAAATAGTTTTTATTTTATTTTCTTTTAAATAATATATTTCTCTAAAACATTATATTTAAAAAAATTATATTGAAGCTATATTTTAAGAAAAAATTTATATAAATAGATTCGATCAACAAAAATATTGTTTCTTAATATATGCAATATGATAAGTACTTTGATAGAATTAAAAATAAAAAATTTCTAATATAATTTTTTATAAACCTTTGATTAAAATTGTACTGAGTAGAAGCTAAAATAAATATAAAAATTCGATAATTTAATGAGCAAAAAGATATTTACGGATTTATTCACACAATGTGTCTTATAGATTCAATATATCTTACGATTTTATTTATTTAATTTAATGTTATAAAAAATTCAATTTTTTAAATAAAATTAATAATTTTTAAGTCCATAATTACATAGAATACGAAAAATTATACGACGAGCACACGTCGATAAATCTCGTTCTATAAATTAATTTGATCGCGTGATAAGTATACGACCGTGCTATGTGAGATAATGAAGCGAATGAAGTTCGGGACGAGTACATGTATATTTTATCCCAGTGATTTAATGAAACTAGAAATTCAAAGAGAGAGGCGAGTATAATATTTTAATATATATATAATACATATGATCTCTCTATTGAGATGCTTTGTTCGAACATAAACACATCTTATGTTCGTTTACGAAGTAGTTTTGAATAATTTCCTGCCTTCTCACGAACACAAACTTATGCAATAAAAGAACTGCTAATTATAACAAAAACAGATGGAACCAAATATAACTTTAACAAACAATTTTCAATGTTCTCTTTCTTGGGTAATTGTTCAAACAGTTATTATTAAAGTATTATATAAAAACGAAAAATACCCTTTATTATATGCTGCATAAATTATTTATAATTTTTTAACTAAAAATAAATAATATTGATAACAAAAATAATTAAATATTTAATATATGGTCTCTGCTAAAAATATCAAATCTACATAAAAATTCAATAACAGATTATATTAATAAAGACAAGAATTATGTAAATAATGGAGAATAATATAAATGTACAGTATATAATTAGATTATATATTACTGATACTTCTATTCCATAAAACCATCATATATGTTTACACACCTTCACATTATAATTTTAAAGATATCTTTTGAAAATGGAAATCTGATTTCTTAAATCCAATTAATCTAGTAATAAGTCGTAACGAGCAATGATCTTCGCACATTTTCCTCGAAAAAACGAAAACGAAGACCCTGGCTATTCCTGATCAAAGTAAAGGGAACGACTCGAACGGCGGGTTTCTCGCGTGCGGCAGCTCGTTAACTTTAAACTTGAAGGCAGGAAATTATCCTCACGTCGTACATGAGGTATATACGCGCGCGTTTTATCGATTCTAAAGTATATTTGGCTCTCTAGTTGGAGAGTAACAGGGGAAATGGTGGTGTTGAGAAGGTATCGCGCATATCGGCGCGTGGCGTGACCGCCCTGTAGGCGATAACACCACGTGCCTTGACCTACAAAATGTCGTGTGTTAGGCACGCAAGTTTTGGTAGGAGACAAGCTGCGGTTGCGTCAAAAGCTTTTGAGAATGAATGATGGTGTTGTATCAATGAAAAAGTTGTGCTGCTCCGTTGAGGAGAGATGGCAGGGGAGGCAATGCATACACCCAGTGGACTATGTAAAGAGTGTGCATATCGGTGAGCGTATAGACTTGGATTTGCGTAGAATGATATGTCTCGATTTCTCGGGAAGCAAAGAGAGAAAGAGAGAGAAAGAGAGTATTAAGCCAAAAAAACGACAAAAATATCACATGCCGCCCGCAAAGTCGGACGGGCGAAGAGCCCGGATGAAGAGTACGAAATATGCAGAGTGAGAAAAAAAATATATATGTGTATATGTGTACATATATATACATATATATCGCGCTCTCACGCTAATATAAACATAGAGATTGGATTTTTTTTAGTGGCCACGCGCGACTGATACATAGTCTTCAATACTCGATAGACTCGCTCGACAGCCCATTGGTGTATGTAGTGCCGCCTGAGGAAAAACATTAGTGATCGTAAATACCTTCGTAGTACAAAAGCAACACTCGAATTCGCTAGGTAATTCATCAATTTTCTCGAATTTTCTGCTGTCTTTTTTCTCTTCATCCTATAAAAGGTCACACACACAATTTCCTGTTTTACTTTTCGTGAGTAAACACACGTCCCTCGGTTCGGAAGCGATCGAAGCGTTTTTTTTTCTTATTCTCTAATGTATCCTTCTTCCTCTCTTTCTCTCACCATTATTCTCTCGACTGTGATTATTGCCGATAAAACGATTCGACCGCTTCACGAGCGAGCAGAAATATCAAACTTAATGTGAGCGTAAAGACGAAGCAACGTATGATCACGTGGAGCCAGAGAGAGAGAGAAAGAGACAGACAGGGTTTTCGTGTTACGCGAAATTGAGAACAAAATCTGCCAGCATGTCGACGATCACAAAACGAAAGATTAAATGTACGTCTCTCTCTTTATACTTATTGTTAGTGTATACGAGTGATCTATTTGAATAATATATCTCAACCGTTTAGTAATTGTTTTACGTACGCGAGCCTTTGGAAAAACAATACTATTTCTGAATTGCAGAATTACAGAGTATTTAAATTTTTTACATGATAATAAATAAATAAAATTTTAATGGTTAAATAAAAAATAATAAAATTAATAGAGTTAAGTTTAACATCACAACGTTCACAATGTCTATAATATCTCAAATATCGCGTTTCATAAATTTTCTGGCATGATATTATTTTTCTAATTCCGGTTTACATCGTCAGAGTTGATTCGAAACATCGTTTATTTTCTCATAATTTAACTTATAAATTTAATTTTAACTTTCTCTATTCGCAAATTTTTCAGATTTTTATCATATGTTTTCGAGAGTAGAAAGTTTTTTAATTTAGTTTAAGTTTTATTAATTTATATTATATTGAGAATATTTGTTTTAAAACGACGAATTTTTTCGAAAAACGGTCGAAAAATGTTTTATCGTTTAGTCACTCGATACAACATACATTTATATCGTACCGAATTTTTATCGTACGAATTGTTAATGACAAATTTCTTGTAAAATTTGTAATCAATTTTTCTTGTCGAAAATATGATGAAAAATCATATTACTAATTGTAATCTTTTATATTATATATATATATATATATATATATATATATATATATATATATTAAGAATTTTCTGAAAAGAAAAATAAATTTCCAACTTATCAACAAATTTATCATTAATAATCGAAAATCCGGAAAAACGAATAACCGAGGTGTACAAACACGGTGCTGAAAGTGTCGAGTGTAAAAGGCGCAAAATTGTCAATAAAACGTGTCATCGATGGAATGTGAAATTTCGCATCTGGACGTCACAAGTATTATTTATTGCGTTACTTACGCGAATGGCACATTTCATAAGCATACTTTCCGAAATCGAGCCGCATTCAAGCTGCTATCCTGTCTATGTCGGCGCGTTGCGAGCGCGATCAAACTTTAACCAAATACTTGTAACAATCGATTTATTTATTCTAATGTGCTGCCACCATATATATTACGATATATACATATATTCGAATATATTTAAAAAAAAACAGAGTTCCAGTATCAGTTTAAGTTTAGAGGATTGTTCTGGTTGGATCAGTTGGATATTATGCATATTACAAGAGAGTATTATTTTGAAACATCAATTGAGACTAATTAAGGTCTAGATAACTTTTTATTTCACATGTTTTTTTGTCTTATCTTTTCGATATAATTCCATGTAATTACATATATTTTAAGTTATATAATTATGCAAAGAAGATACGAAATAACTGTTTCTCATCCATTGTAGATTGAGAAGTTATAATTTGTCCATTACATGTAATGATATATTAGATTATATGATCGCATACTATTATATGTAATAATTTATTTTCTTTTTTAATTTTACTTATTTATTTTGCCTTTAAATGAAAAAAAATTTTAACAAAATTATCTCAGTTATAGATTATTTTAATTAATCTTAATTAGTCTCTATTTTTAACACTAGCTCATAATAATCGCGCGCAATGAACTTCATTGCAACTGAAAGTTTATTTTCTTTCACGCACAATGTAATGATCTCACAATAAACTCCATCGATTGCTTCGTTCGCTCTAAATGATATATATATAAACAACGCGAATATATAAAGAGATCGAACGACTTCCGATTATAGCAGTTCTATATTTATGTTTGTTACAGGCAAGTAACAGTGTGAAACAATGTTTATGTATAGGCAGTGTACACGCACATACACACATGCACGCACACAATATTTTAAAGATATTTCATTCTTAATAGTAATATATGTATAAGCACCAAATCGCGCAAATCCATATTGCCACGTAAGAATGTATATCTATTTCGTAAATATGTCTATCTATATGTCTATATATATGTCTATCTATCGTCACAGCTTTTAAAAAATTGCATTACAAAATTGCATTTATTACGAATGTATGTTAATTATTTGTTAAGTACTTGTTAGGAATGTTGAAATGGCGCGTTTATCACATAATACAGACTAATTTTTCGATTAAACAGCTGATAATGTGAAGAAGAAGTACAAAGAAGTGATGCAGCGCGATTAATAGTGCGTTGCGATTTTTTAATTATCGAAGAAATTATGAATGTTAGCGCTCACTTTATTAAATATCTACTTTGATATCTTAATTCTTAAACGAACACGTGGACGTACAAAGCGCGCCGATTTTTTTTTTTTAAATGACTTGAGATAAAATACGTTATCAAAACAAATCTAGTCATTTTAAGTCTTTCATTCAGCATTTGCATGCTAATAGCATTGCGTGCTAATAATTTTTCATGCAAGATGGATTGGAGAAGTGTATGAGTGTATATATATTTAAAAATTCATAGTACAAATTTTGCGCGCATGTATTATTTAAAGAAACAAAAGGCTTATTAAAAATGTATTCAAAAATCAATTACTTTCATAAAATGTTAAAAAATACACATATTTTTTTCTATAAAAGATGTTTAATATGTTAAAAATTTTAATATAGATTTGAATTTACCCCAGCATGTTTCATTGATTGACTGATGTGAATATATCAAAATAAATAGAAAGTTATTAAGTTAGTAAACAAACTAATATTGTGCATACTAATTATTTCTGAATTTATAAATCAATACATTTTTATTATGTCTTCTCTCTTTATTCAGAGATTATTATAATAAACAAGTACTTTTATAAGAAAATTTTGTAATGTATTATTTTGAAAATGTTTATTTTTAATAACTGCCGAAATAGGAGAGGTGAGATATATTACTTAATTAGAAATAATAAAAGAATAAGATTAAGAATCAAGAAATAAAAGAAAAATATTTCATTGAAATTTATAACATTTTCCAAGTAAAATGAAGAAATTTCCATTGATATTTAATATTAACGATTATATATTCAGATGTTAATGGAATTTTCTAACAATAAGTAAGCCTACAAAAGTGATTAAATGTAATATACATGTAAATCAATAAAATTATAATAAAAATACAAACTTGAAAAAAATAAACAAGAAAAAAATTTTTAAATATTAATATAATTTCAAAATTTCTGTAAAAAATCAACATTACATGTCAAAACAAAAATTATTATTATATTGCTTAGAATGTAACTCGTAATAAAAAGAGAATTCAATAATCTAGAAAAATTTTTCTCATTTAGTTCAACAATCTTGTTTTCTCTCTCTTGTGTATACATACGTATGTGTGTATATATACACATAGTTGAAGCATTCTTGATAATATGCTTGTATTTCTTTTATTTCTATTAAGTTTAGATATTCTCTAAATCGTCTCTCTCTCTCTCTCTCTCTCTGCTTTTCTTCTTATTTTACATATATTTCTTTTATATATATGACGTAATTTTTGCATAAATTTCCATTATATCTTGAAGTTACATAAAATACAAAATATTATTTAATGCTTACCAATATAATGCGCAACAGTGAAGTCGTAGGACACAACGTTGATCTGTAAAATAAATATATCCAACTTATAAAACAGTATCCAAAATAATTAATATTTCAAAAAATATTTATTGCGTTTTCAATTCAATTTATTACTTGTAATTTAATAAAAACAATTATGTAACTTTTTTGAAAATAAAAAAAACATTTCTACTGCATACAATTATATATTATTAATAGACAAAAAAATAATAGACAAAAAAAATTAAAACTTCTTACCTGACGGAGCTGCTCCATCATCATCAGATGCCTTTCTGGAGGTCTGCTCTCCTTTTTTACTCATTCTTTGCTATCCTTCATCGTACTTGTTCGCAAAAATGATTAATTACAATCACGCGTAATCAATCGAATGCAATAAACGCACTTTATTTTATCATGTCACTCTCGACATTATTTACACACGGTGCATACTTTATTTCATATTGTGATGGAGGAGAGAACGCAAATTGCAAAGCTACGATCAGCTGGAAAATCACATAGTCAAATTCATGCGCCATTCGACGCGATGACATTACATCTATTATTTAGACTGGTTACTATCTTGTATTATAATATAAGTGAATAAATATACACGCGTCAAAGATAAATGTTCGCAGACTGTGCCAATATTCGAAAATATGCATACATTTGTCGCACAATTTATCATGATCGAATATCATGAAACACGCGTTGTAACATTGTACAACACGCATATGCAGTCAGAGATATCTTAATATATAAATTTGCATGCGTATCGAGATATATTTAGGATGTGTGATTCGCTTTTAAATATTCGCCCATCATGACTGTTGGTTATTTGAAAAATGCTAAACCGTTGTTTTAAGATAAAATAATTATTAAAATATTATTACTTCATTATATTATATATTAATAATTTTATTAATAATAAGAATAAATATATTATTATTTATTCTTTTAATAATTTCAGCAATCACGATGCATGAATATTTAGAGATCAAGTATGCATGTCAAATATGCCCCGATAAATATGCAAATTCATAAGTTAAGGCACGTTTGACCCCGTCGTGATGCTATTCGATCATCGATCCGTCCCGTATCCATAACATTTTGTTAATAACCAAGAATGATATCGGCAACTT